TTATATTTATATTTATATTTATCTTATATATATTTAAATGACTGCCAAAATATTTGGTCATCTTAATTTTTCTTTACTCTTGTTGAGCCAAAAAATAACCGAATACTTCACATATATGTTCAGCACTTGATGCACATTTGGGCACAAGCCAGGACGAAGGATATGAGTATATTACTAACAAGGAGCGGCATAGAAGAGAAAGAGATAGAGAGAGCGAGAGCGAGTCAATTGTTGTTCCAGCATATTCTAATCCTGTGTGTGTGTGTGTGTGTGTGTGTGTGTGTGTGTGTGTGTGTGTGTGTGTGTGTGTGTGTGTGTGTGTGGCAGAGGAGTGCTTTAAACAGTCACCGGCTCGTCAGCAGGACGAACCACAGCTGCTGTCGCTTCTGCCCTAAAGCCTTTTGTTATTTTCCAGTCAACGTTTGCACTGCTAATTATAACTCTTTTACACCGGGTACCCAGCTACCGCCTGGCAACAAGAACAATAACAACAACAACAACAACAATAAGCAGTAAGTATTTTAGAAGCAAGTGGCAAGTGGCAAGTGGCACCACACTGCAGCCATTCGGCTCGCAGATTCGTTATTTCCGTATATGTTGCGCCTTGGCACAAGCTTTAAACTTGCCACTTGCCACATTTTATGTGAGACTGCAAATTGGGGCTTTCATTTGATGTAACATGGGCATTTTGGACATCGTTGTTGTTGTTGCTGTTGCTGTTGTTGTTGCTGTTGCTGTTGCCGTTGCTGTTGTTGTTACTGTTGTTGTTGTTGTTGCTGTTGTTGTTGCCATGCAGAAGTAACAGTTAAGTTTTACTGAAAGCCACTTGATTTTATTAGGAACGCTCATAAAGTCGTCCTCGTAAGCGCTTCGCTGAGCAACAACGCAAAGTGTGCGTAGGCACTGGTGAGGTGGTTGGTGGGAGGGGTTGGGAGGTGGGGGAAGTTGCGTCAAAACCCGAAGTAAGCGCTAGGGTGGCTAGTGGGGATGGGGGAGCACTGTTGCATGGAATGGGATGCTGAATGTGCTCAACAGTTTTTATAGTGCCAAACTCTTAATGGATGTTAAATTTGCAATGCTCTTGTGTAATAATAGGCCCCAATATGGCGAAAATGAAAGTCAAAGTGCGACACGCAACGAAGAGAGAGAGAGAGGGAGAGACTGAGAGAGATAGATAATTGGAATGTGGGATCTAAGTGGGTATTTAATTGTGCATACGCATCAACTTCTACTTAATCTAGATGCATTGTCAGTTGAATGACAAGTAGAAATAAACGCAGCCAATGCATTCAAAAATATCAATTACTCTGACTTTAAGTACTTAATTGCTTTAAGAATAAAGTCAACAACAAAAAAAACTCTATAAAAAACTCATCAGGATAATTAATTAAGAGAAATTAATGACAAATTATGTACTTTGAAAGCTATTTCAACTATTGTTTCTCTCTGTTTTTATTTAAGTGTTTTTTCTTTTTATAAACTAACACACTTTTCAATAATACGGCCATCAATTAAATATGAATAGAAAGGATATTATGAAGCAGGGTGTCAAATAGGATACAGATCCAGATACGTAAGATTCGTAAAGAACCTTTTTTTCATAATTCACCTTTTCACCTTTCCTTTCACCTTCACCTTTTTTTTATAATTTTGAGTTCTGTGACTTGTTTCACAGTCAAAATAAAAATGTATCTGTGATGTATGCTAAATACAAAAATGTACATATTTTTTCATTTTAGCTATAATCAATCTGTATATCGATCACGCTGATGGCTTAATGATAAAATCAAAACATACTCCGCCAAAAATTATCCCATTTCCGAATTATTTTCAACGTTATGCAGCCCATTTTATATATTGATGCTACATCGAAATGTAAAAAGATTTTTCTTTTATGTTGTGTGAAATTTTAAATTCAAACTGCTACATCTTCAGCAAAAATGATGCCATTTCGTAATTAATTTCAAGCTAATGAAAGTTGAAATGCAAGAAGAGCGCGTAAATCTGCATAAGGATTAAAAAATATGACCTAAGAACGCAATAAATCGCAAATGCAAATGTGGAGCACAAGCTCGTAAAGTGGGAACAGACGTTAATGGCAATAGCAAGAATAGAGTGGACAACCGGAGGCAAACAGCAGAAATATGAGTGGGTCGCATGCGGCATGTGGCACGAGCTGTGGCACGGATGGCTACTGCACAAGTTCAAAGAATGACAGCAACACAACCTGCAACAGACAGCAGCAAACAGAACGATGGGGACAGTAGGTGTGGATGGTGAAAATTAAAAAGGGAAGAGGGAATACAGCAAACTGGATGCTGCGTCGGTAACTAAACGCAACACCAGCGACCTTATGCTGCTATTGTTGTTGTTGTTGCTGCTGTTGTTGTTGTTAAGTAGAATTTGCATTTTGCCGCAGCAAAGTGAAAAACGAGAAAACTTGGCAAAGAGCCGCCAGCGACTGCTAATTGGTTGCAATTGCTGTTGCACTTGATGGGCGGCCAGCTTGCTAGCTACAAAGCTGACCAACAACAACAACAACAACAACAAGAACAACAACAACAGCAATAACTATAACGGCAACAGCAACAGCGCTGACAATGGCCAAGGCCGCTAATGATAATCAGTCGATTATGGCCATGATTATGCTCTCACTCTCTGACAGCGAAATGCAGCTAAGCAAACAAACAAACAAACAGACAAACCAAACAAACAAACGAACTATAGCAACAATAATCTAAGATCAGGTGCTTGCACCCAAACTGTAAGTTGCATGTTGCATGCCGCGTGCCGCGTGCCACGAGCATGCCTATAAAATGCAGCGCCAACACATTGCCCATTTCACTCTCACTTTGTTAGCTAACACGGCCAGTCAACATAAACGTGCCACTTGCGACTTGCAACACACGCTGCGTATGCGTTATGTTCAAGCAATACAAATTTGATTAACTTAAACGCAATGTTTCCGATTTTTTTTAACGTGTTTTTTGTTCTATTTTAAAACAGTGTAAATAGCTCAACAACAAAACAAACAAGCAAACAAACAAACTACATACGTTTTCTGTTAAGTGACAAAAATAATATACAACATTAAATATAAAAAGTGACTGTGAATAATGTCGCCCATAAAGGTGAATAATGGCTATATATTTATAAAAAATAAATTAAAAACAAAAAATCAGTTTTTTTTCATTTTTTACGCAGGTGTTAATAGATGCTCGTTGATTAACTTTGGTTTTAGTTCATTTATAAAATTAGCTGTTGTTGCTGAATGTGTTTCTATGCAATATTTAGTGTGTGTTGCAAAAAGTACTGAATTAAAAATAACAACATGTCCTGCAAATATACGAATGAAAAACAATTTAATGAAATCCATTTAGTTGTTTAATCAACTGAGGTTTTTAGGGACATTTAATTAAATTGCTTTTCGTTTGACTAAAAGCAATTTACATGTTATCAATATGTAACGCAAAGCCACACATAATTCCACATCAATTCAAATGATCTCATTTAGACACTAAATTATAATGAATATAATATCAAATCATATTAATCCGAGCACTTTTCGCCAATCATATCGTTCAACATTTTACAGCAACTAAAACTGAGTTAAAAGTTATCCCAAGTCTTTTTACAGGCGTTGGAACTAAAAAAAAATATTATACGATATGGTATTAGCTATCATTAGATTAGGTAATGAAGTCATCAAATTATTTAAGAAAATGTACTCATTAAGATAGCTCAGATGACTGATTAAACCACAAATATCCTAATGCCTATGAATAGTACGGGTTTGTTATTCCAATACTCGTTTGTGCAGCAGAGTTTTGAGTTATGAGAAAGGGCAGACAGACAATGTTGATTTTCTATGTTTGAATTGAATAATTAAATATTTAAGTTAAAATGAACAAAGACATCTAAGGTAATTGCAGTTGGCCAGAGACACCAGTTCGAAGACAAGCCAAATTTATCCATAATCAAAAACGACTTAAATAAATTATCAAAATTAAATCTAGATAGGACAGCACAGACTAGAAAGCTACTTTGTTATAAACTCAATCTGACCGAGATGCTTGAAATTGTGCCAGAGAAATGGTTTAAGTGAAAAGCCATAGATCGAATAGGTCGCAGTGCACATGGCCAATAATAATGTCAAATCAAACGTCAGAAGAGTGATACAATTTTCTTGAATTGTATCTGTATTTATATTCGTGACTATTCACTGTTGTTGGCTTAGTTCCACAATTGGTTGTTTAACATTATTAAATTTCCGTAGTACGTTTCGTAAATTGAAAATTGGCAGACATTTGTCTTTTTGATTTTCTACTCCCTCTCTTTTTCCATTTCCATTTATACTTCCCGGGGATTGCATCTGCCGGCTGGCACGCAATCCGATTGCATTTCTGCTTTTGAAGCTGCAATGTGGAAAGCAAATTATAAGTTATAAATTCACTGGGTGTAGCTAAACATTTTGAACTGTGATCAGGTTCGTTGAACGTGGCACAGAGAGAAGTTGGTGCTGATGCTGCTGCTGCTGCTGCAGCTGCTGCTGCAGATAATAAATAGTTTTTAATTATGCTATGTAGTGCGAAAATAATTGCATTTGCAACAGCAACAGCAACAACAACAATGACAACAACGAGAGCAATTTGTTTAATATTGTGTACGGCTCTCACATTAATTAATTTAATTGCATTTATAAATCGATTTAATGAAATTGATATTGTGAAATTACAAAAGCAAAAATGCAGCATGCAACATTAAACATGAAATATGAATCAAGTCTTAATCAAATGTTTATACGCTGCACTCTTTCTGTCGACATTAGCCGGTTCATTATGCCACATTAAGTGCCACAATTCGTATAATGTGCTAAATTTATGTTACCGTGTTGTAACTTCTGCATATATATATATATATATATATATAAATATGAAGCCAATTAAAATTAAATATAAATGTTGTCGCTCTCTCTCTCTCTCTCTTTCTCTCTCGCACAGCTTGCAGTGTTGCTCATTTGCTGCATGCACCTGGGACATGCCACAGAGCTGGAAACGAAGCCAACGGTCACCCAAGTTGAGCCAGTTGCAACAACAAAACTAACAGCCAGCGTTGAGGAGCCAAAAAGTAAAACCGAAAAACGTGATTCCTCCGACCAAACAGGTCAGTTGCAAAAAATTCACAAAAAATAAAATAAAATAAAATAAACTAAAACTAAAATAAATGCTTACAGCAATTCATTAGTCATTTGAATAATAATTTGCCAAAAATTAAGTTTATAGCAATTTAACAAGTTGAATTTAATGCAGCTACCGTGTACACCAGCAAGCCAGCCAAAGAAACGCCATTCCGTTCAATTTTCCCATCGGCAACATACTACGAGGCCGCAGAGAGCAGTCCCATCTTTGAGCCAACAACGTTGCGTTATACGGCAGCCGATGCAGCACCGCAGGTATGCAACAGCAGCAGCAACAGCAACTGCTACTGCAACATACCGCATTCAATTGTATTTAATGAACTCAACTCGACACTTGCAGAGCTACTATGAGAAACCGGCAAGCGGCAGTCTACGCTATGTGGCACCAGCAGCTGCGGGGCACAAGCATCCAACCGCCTTGGGTAGCCTTCCAGGGCCACTGCAATTTGCAACACAGCAGCATATACAGCAACAGCAACAGCAACAGCAGCCGCAGCAGCAACATCAGCAGCATCGCTTCAGATTTGCAGTGCCGCCACAAGTGGAGCTGTATCAGCGGCCGGTTGTTAAGTTGGCAGCACCACAACAGCAACCATTGCAATCCATTTACAGCTATGGGGAGCAGGCGCCAACACTTTATGAACGTGCCGCACCGCCGCAATATCAATTGGCAGCAACAGCAGCCACGCAGCAACATCAGCCACAGCAACGTTTTCAATATATTATTGCCATACCGCTTTCGTACATGAGACAGCTGCAGCAGCAACTTAGCGCCGGCTTGCTACCAGTGCCACCAAGCAGCGCGGCCAGCGAGAGGAGCTCAACCACTAGCACCAGCAGCACAACCACCACATCCACAACAGCACCAGTACCAGCAACAGACACAGCAACAACACAGTCAACCGGCGCCGCTCGTCATCCGATCATGCAGCTGTTTGGTCCGCTGGCTCGCGATCATCAGGGCATATATCGTCCATATTATCAATCGGATGCCGCCAGTGCCCCAACCGCTATACCCAGTCCAATTGATGGGTATGGCCAGCACTATGTGCAGGTACCAGCCAATGTATTGCTAGCTGCCGCACAGCAACTGCAACAGCAACAGCAACAACAACATCAGCAACATCAACAACCACTTCAAGCTCTGTATCCCAAATCAACCACATCGCCAGCATCCATTTATCAACCATCGCTCGTCTATCAGCCACATCTACAGCCACAGCAGCTTCAGCTGCAGCGCTTCTATCAGCACCCGCCAATGATCTTTGCCGAGCAGCCAATGGGTCAGCAAACCACCTCTCTGTACGGTGAGTACCCCAAAGAATATTTTTATCAATGTTAGTACTGACACCATACAGTTATTTGCCATCATGTTAGAGAATTATTCCTTTTATTATTCCCATAGTCGACGAAAGACCTGAGCAAATCTCAAGTGTATGTTAGAAAATGTAGCTTGATTTAGTAGAGTAAATAATTTACAATTTCAGTTTGGTTATTGTACCAGCCACATTAGCATAAACTTCATTTATATTATGCAAAAAAAAAATTGAGCAAAGATTTGCAGTAATCATAGAAAATGACTTCACATAAAATAAAATTTCAATCGAGTAAATTTATTAAGCACAACATTTTTAGCGTAACAAAAATATAAAAATAGCATCGATGAAATGTATTTTATTTCCCTTATTATTTATTAAATATTTTGTAGTTTAAAGTGTGTAAATTTCAAATCATTTTTAAAACTATGCTGGTTATTTTGAAATTGCATTTAACTGCTTATAACTGTTTTAATAACTGTTGGATGACAGCTGTGCCATGTGCTTTCAACCTGGCAATTAGTGCTCATTTTATGCAGCCTGGCAACTCTGGCAACTGGAAAACGCCTTTGGCAATTTGGATGGCGTTGCGAGTAGATGATTATGATAATGACGACGACAGCGTTGATGATAACTTTGTTAACTATGCTCATATTTTGCAGCATATCCGGTACACCAGCAACAACAGCAACAGCAGCAGCACCAACAGGGGCGACTGTTGCGATTGGGCCTCAAGCAAACGCAGCAGCAACATCAATATGTGGCCACACCATCCGCAGCAACTCCTTTCGCATCAGTGCCAGCAACGACATCGGCAACGACCACATTGCTGTTGCCCCCAGCAACAACAGCAGCAGCAGCTGCCGCAGCTGCACGTGAACAGCAGCAGCAGCACAATCAAGGAGCACCCATCGTTCACTACAATCCCATTTATGTGCAGTCACCAGCCGAACACCAGCAGCAGCAGCAGCAACATCAATTTGCAATATTGCCACGTTTTAGCAATAATAACCCAAAGGCCGCTTACAATCTAGCGCATGAATCAACGCCACCAATTCATGTTGTCAGATTGGCAGCTGCGAACGCATTAGGACACCACCAACCACAGACGATACAGCATTACCAGCCGTATCAAGCAACCCTGCAGCACCAACACCAGCAGCAGCAGCAGCAACAACAGCAACAGCAATTCTATCAGACCCATGCTGGGCCGCTGTCCAACTACGTCGAGGAGCAGCAGCAACAACATCATCACCATCACTCACATAGTCCAGTCTCGCCAGCTATTATACCATACTTTAGCCATCCGGGCGCCGTGCACTATGGCACACATTTGTATCATCCGGTGGCTGGTGCAGCCACAGCGTTAGCAACTAGCACAAAGCAGCAACAGCAACAGCAACAGCAACAGCAGCAGCAGCAGCAACGACTGGCGGCAGCAACAACCGCAACAAGTGGAAGGTTGTTGGGTGACAATGGGGCTAGCGGTGCAGGGGTCAAGCAGCCAACAACCGCCACGAATATTGTGAAATATCCCTAAGCAGCAATATCAGCAACAGTAGGAGCACCAACAGCAGCAGCAGCACAGCAGCAACAGAAATGAAGAGCACGCCGCCAGCAAAAAGTTTGCTAGCAGCCATTTTTTTATTGTGTGTATATAGAAATGTTGTGTAAGTATGTGTGTGTCTATGTATGTGTGTGTGTGTGTCTGTGTGTATCAGTACTTGTTATTTTTCTATAACATTCTGTCAGCTTTTTAGCTGTTATTGCTGTTGTTCCTACAGTTGTCACACCGCTTGCATAGTTCTTAATATATATATTTTTTTTGTTTATTGATCATATTTTGCTGTGGTTCTGTGCGGCTTATTATTTTAAACACTTCATTGGCAACATTTTTTTTTGGTAAAATTATTCATCATCATTTTTTATGTAAATATTTGAAATTTTAAATACACCCCATCAAATACCTTCAAATATATGTTTATCTATCTTTAAACCTTTTTGTATTTCTTGATTGTTGGTCATTTATCTCTAGATTAAATCCGGGAAAAAAAAGCGGCACCCCGAAGATTACATACTCTTGCTGATCAAACAACAAAATTAAAAACCCTTTTGCAAGTGCTAAAATATTCTAAACTTGCTAAAGCCTGGCAAAACAAACACGTCGGATTTTGATTCAGAATGCTTTATTTTCGAATTCGACTAATTAGCTTAACGCTTAAGAGCCTTTCATACCCATAAATGATAATAAATTATTATTATTATATTTATGGAAATATACCAAAAATGATTAAAGATATAATGCTGCAAATATCAATCATAGGCAATGAACTCATATGTATATGCTTTAGCCATTTGAATAATAATGATAATTTATGGACAATGACAAACCGTAAATCGCATAGCCGTTAACCGACCTATGCGGGCTTTGCCCAGAGAGCCTCCCCCCCTCCCACAAACCAAACCAGTCACAGTCTGGCACCCATATAAAATCTCTGGAGAGTTTTTTATTTATTAATTTTTTTATTTTTTTTGTAGGGAAGTTAAGCGTGTGTTTTTATTTTATTGAAAAGATTTCTGCACAAATATGATTAAGTTGAATGCGTAAGCTCTGATTTTGGCATAAGCGGGGCTGTCAACCGCAGCGTTGGCCACAATTAAAAATGTTCATTTTTAATAAACTCTTATTAAGAACTGAAGCAAGTGTGCATGGGGCATGCGGCATGCCGCTGTGTGTGGGGCAGTGCGGCGATGATGACAAAGCTTTTCGATTTTTATTTTTCGTTTAATTACCATGTAAATCCATTTAATAATGAGCTGCAGGATTATGCAATAAGCGCTTCAAAAGTCTACAGAAGAGTTTGTGCGCCGCTCCTGCCCAAGTTCAGAGGCTCGTACAAATCACAGACCCGCAAATCCGTTGACATGCGTACAAAACACATGCAACCACAACAGCAAAAGTTTAAAATTATAGTTCTGTTCGGATTGCCGAAGATTAAATACACTTACTGATGGTTAACACATCGGAGCAAGCATATATTAAGGCTTTCTTAATTCGAAAACCAATTCAGTTCGAGCACATTTTAAACACACAAAAATTAATTGAAGAAAAATTCAAAATATTCATTTGTTGGACCAATTTTTAAATGAAATATCTAAGTGAATTAGAATTAAATACACATTAAATTTAATATAATCTTATATACAACGCTCAATCTGTTGTTAGCTTTCAGTTTGACTCTTCATATTTGTAAAGATCTTTTTTACAAAACAATTTACAACACAATTTGAAACGGAAATAGAAGTTCAGGAAAAGACATACGGAGTTGAAAGCTTGACATTGCTTTGAACACACAAAGATACAATCACAATACCCACTTCAAGAGTATACAAAGTGGTATAGCTGGTGTGAGAGCACGCTGCAACTGTATAAGATAAATAACTTCCGCCGAAGGCCAGTGGGCGACACTTGCATGAAATGCGCATTTCCGGTTGCAGCTGAATAAAAATGACGGCACGCACACACTCGCCACAGTCTCGGACACGGAACGCTGCCCACCAACGGCTCTATTGGTAACCAGTGGACGGACGGACATACATTATTTTTTTCATATATTTTTTTTTCATTTTTTGTCCTTTTTATTTTGTGCTCAATGCGTGCTCGCCTTTTAAAAAATTGTAGGTAAGGGAATGTGTGTGCATGTTGTGTGTGTGTGTGTGTGTGTGTGTGTGTGTGTGTGTGTGTGTGTGTGTGTGTGTGTGTGTGTGTGTGTGTGTGTGTGTATGTGGGTGCATGTATTAATGCATGACAATTTAAAGAAGAATTTTCAATTTGATTACAGTCACTCTGCCGTCCTTATGCGATTGTCATTTAACTCATTGAGTTCATTTGATTCAGCAGCGTGTACACCGAGTAAGCTCCCTTGACAACCTGCAAATGGAATGAAATATTCACACATATTAAATACATATCTTATCCGAAGAGATCACACAGATATAATTAAGTTGCTACCCGACGCATTGGAATCGCTTTAATTCATCATTCATATTTTACTGGAGCATGCAACAAATGAATCAATAAGATTCAAAACAAAAATGATTGCTCAAAATTAAGTTCTGGCAAATGGAGAATTGAGAAAGAACATGGAAGAAAAGGCATATTTATTTAAATTTTAATATGCTTTAATATTTTAGATTCGAGATATAAGTGTAATTTAAAAATGGTTTATATTTGCAGTGCATAATACATGAGCGCTTTGATACATACCGACAATAGAGTTGTCATGCTTACTGGCAAATATCCGATTGCCATAATGCCAGCGGAACGCTGGGATCGCATTAGCATAATTAACACGATGCGACGATGCTCGACAGGCATACAGACCCAATTGCAATTGTAAATCGCCTTTGTCATCTGCTCGGCCTCATATTGCACCAGCTCGGAGGCATAGCAAACGATGTACATTTCAGTTAACATGTTCACGAGCATAATGAGCACGTATACAATCCGGAAAAAGTCCAGGTTAATTTGGGCTGCGAAAACGGCTTGTGTACATATTGCGGTTGCTGTACAAAGGCATTGAATAAAACAGGCAAATGACAGACTATCCTCAAGGATATGTCGCAATCTGTAAATGACGTTCCAATGACTTTCACTAATTGGAATTAGGATTTTCATATATATGTACATACTGCAATATAATCTGGTGAGACTCAACGCATTCAATCAGTTGCGAATAGCTCAGTTCGCGAGTTGTGCCCTTTGTATTCCCCACCCTGGCAATGCGTATGGCCAGCGCCTTCCAGTGGGCAGCGACTATCTTGAGATAGGCAACCGGATAGGTATCATTGCCCACCCCCATGAATGCCATTGTGACGAGGCCAATATTCAGTAGGCACAGCGTAAGCAGGTATAGAGAAAACGATTGATGCCAATCCCATGGTATCCAAACTTGAAATGGCATCTGTAGATTCGATTCCTTGAGCACAATAATATTAGCCACTGCAACGCTTCCCAAAAATGCAACGATTATATATTGAAAGAGTCCCTGCACCCAACGGATATTATCCTCTATTATCCGATACTCTTCCTGCGATTGCAGGCGTCCATCCAGGTGGCGCAACATTACATGGATATCCATCAAACGGGGACGTATTCGCAAAAAATTGATCAACTTCAGCAGCTGCACAAATATCATGGTGAATACTGGGAAAGCCTCACAAAAATCGGTTAATGATTTGGCTGTAAAGCTTTCTATGGAAAACCCAATCGGTACCCAAACAGTGCCAAGCAAATTCATGATAATTCCATAGATCCAATAATACCGTCTAACGAACGTATCCCCGGATGGCGAATGGTATCCCATCAGGCGCCACATGAACCAGTGGTTTGAAAATGCTTTAGTCGAATCAACGCTGAACATCTTTTCTTCTCTTGTTGCACTGTCACACTTTGACTGTGCCACAATCATGGATATACGTTCCTTTTATAGCAATCCGCCTAATGCAAATTGTCATTAAATTAGCTGGCACTGTCCCGACCAACACCACCCATCCATCCACCCACAGCAAGGACATTCTCGTCGAATTACCTATTTCAGCTACGCCACCTGAGCAGTAATCATGCATTTTCTTTGACTGGCAAATGTCCGGACTATCTTACTAAATTATGCACAATGCATTTAAGTATCTATTTCATATACATTAATATTATATTATTGGGCTTACCAGTTAATCGGCAATTGAAATTAAATTTGAAGTGGCCATAAACAGTCTTCAAAAACAGAAAAATCTTAAAAAATATATCAAAAAATGTATTTTAAATTATCGAAAGTCATATTATTGAAGCTATCAAAACAAGTTGATTTGCAAATTGATTTTTTATCATTATCTATGACAGCTTTTAAATAAAGCAAATAGAAGCAAAAAAATCTTGTATTATATAAGCCCTTTGAGCGCTTCGGCATTTTTATTTTAACTCTATCATAACTCTATTAACTCTATTTATTTTAACTCAATCAAGTTGTATATATGTATAGCAGCAAAAGCCGGCAAAAAGTGTTATTTATTTCGGATTACAAATGTAAAACAAATATTAAAAAAATCAATCCATTCAAACCTATTTCCTTTGAAAAAAAAAAGCAAAATCTGAGTAAATAAACCGTGATAAACAAATAATAATTGATTTGCAAGCTGGTTGATTAACCAATTTACAAATATAAACAAAAACTAGTGCATACAGACCAAATCTAAATAGAATCAGATTAAATTCAATTAAAAGCGTATTGCACAAGCCAAACCAGTTTGTGGACCAAATTTGTGCAAAATGTATGTAAAAGTAATTGTGAATTGCGGGCGGAGTCTGCATTTTTGATGGTGATTTGAATTTGGATTGGTTATGGGGGGGATGGCAGGGTGTTTTGGATTGGAGTGGTTGGAGGAGGGTGCTTCTGCCGCATACAGGTGTCAAGCGCGGCGTGTATTCAAATTAATAATGCCAAATTGATTACATAACATTTGTCAATGGCAATCGAGTTTCGGGATGGAGTTAGAATGGACTAAGCCATCCGTCAGATACACCGCACAGCACCATGTTTGAATATGATTGATTTAGGCGGCATAAATTATGAACATGCCGGGCCCTCGGAGCTACCACTAGCCGGGAGGTAACTATGCTCTCGCCACCAGTTTCAGTTTCAGTCTCAATGTCAGTTGCCATCTTTTGGCCAAGACACTGGGCAACCTGGTCGCGACCTTGGGCTTTTGACAAATGAGCTGCGTAAGCCGAAAGATTTGCGCAAGACGCATAATTAAATGGCTACCAGGCAGCAAATTGACATTGACAGTAGGCAGTAGGCAGTAGGCAAAAAGGGACACAAGGCCGTGCCCCAAGGACGTGGCAAAGCTATGAGGCACACACATTTCGCAGGTGCCAGCCTGGCATTCGAACCCATTTTTAAAATGACTAATGTCAATTGCAGGTCGGCTCTTTATTGGAAATCGAAATGCTTGTGAAACTTAGCAACTGGCATTATGAACTGACAATTGAAATTGCAAATTTCATTGACAATTGGTTCAAACATAATCCAATGCGACTTTGACAAACCAACACAAAGCTTTCGTGACTTACAAGACGGGCATGTACTAATATTAAGAAAAATGCACGTATAAATTAGCTCAATATATAAATTATTTTCACTTAACAAATGACTACAAAGTAGTTGTATTATTTTTGAATTTTGCCAGTATTTCAGTCAGCTACTGAATTTTCAAATACCTTGAATATTTTCTCTCCTTCTCTTTAAAATCTTTAAATTTTTAGCTTTAGCTTCAATTTAAGAATTTAAGAAAAATTTAAGAAATTATGAAAATGGAATCGAGATCTAATACATACATAGTAGAACAAATTAATAATAAAAAAAAAAACTGAACAACAAAAAAGAAGCGAATATTTATCAAAATAGGCTTTCGACATTTGTTGCTTGATATTTGTGTTTATTTAGGCATTTAATTTTATTTACATTTTTGTTCAACAAATTTTTGTCTTTTGGGCCGACGGAAATTAAATTAAATGGAAATGAGCAAAACTATTTACATGACATTTTTTTTTATCACAAATATCCGGTCCAACTTAAATTAAAAACATAAATGAACTGAAACTTAAATGGACAGCATAGCATTTTGATACATATACAAAAGCACACATACATTTACGTTGTATTTGTGATAAAATACTTGAAATTTGTCAATCACAATTTCATCTACATAGACACACAAGCATATCGTATCTATATACATATATAACGCTACAACATCCCATCCCTCCCCGACCGCCTACCGCCCCTTTCCCGTTCACCGTTCATGCTTTAACCAAGTTCTGGTTGGGAAAAGCAAAAATAAACGCCTTCATCGAACACAAATGTGTTTGTATGGATAATGGATGATAATAATTCAGTATACACAAGACCATATTGAGAGCTGTATAATTAATAATGCGCATCTAAACACATCCACACATCAACGCAAAGATATGTATTAACTATACTTGTAGCATCGATAAACAGCAAATCAGACAACAAATATCTAACAAGTTTATTAACCGAGCAGAGCCGAGTAGTGCATGGCAATTATTGAAGAAGAAAAAACACGTCTCTATTTACAAATTTGATTATCATACCAAGCTTGTATATAGATATAAATATATTTGCACATACACTCAGAAAAAAAAATCGCACTGAGCATCCGAAAATTTAATGTTTTGTCTATTTATTATTAAAAGCAGAATTAAGCTTTTGTTAATTCCAGGGTAGATTTTTCTAAATTTTCTAAATAATTATTTAACAAGAAGGGTTTTTTTTGGGGCATATGTAGTAGTTAGTATAAGTAAAAGATTGGTTTCTATGTAGAAATTAAAGATATGTCTCGATTATAGGTTTCGTATGAGGAACCTTATTGGTTTTTTTGGATAATGCTCAATGTTTGAAAAACAAAAAGGTTCTTTGTCTTCCTAATTTCTCATTTGAATTAATATTTTTAAGAGCTCACTCTTTGTTAGAGATTGTAGATCTTAATTAGTAGTTAGGATTCTTAGATTTCGATATGCTATTAAATAAAAAATAAAAAAAAGTCTTTGATCAAGATACGCTGCTACATTTTGAAGGCTTTAATTACAGGGTAGCTACAAGGCCGGTATTCGCTAATGGAGTGAAGTGTTATGAAATTGTTCATCAATGAAAATAGTGAATGTGATTGTGATCAGCTTAAGTTATTGCTACAATAAGCTACAGTGAGAACTGGCCAATGATGATCAAAACGAATCACTCGATATAGCCCATATACAAAACAAATACTGGATGTTATAAGACAAATATAATTTCCAATTCCAAAGTTGAAACAACCTACAACTTATTTATGTGCGTTTCAATTATTATTACGTTCACAAAATATATGATTTGATATAGCAGTCAGTCAGTCATATTAGGTGTTGGATGGAACAAAGCCAGTTTCAGCGCACAAACAGTAACAAAGTAAACAATAAGCAATAATAATATTTAAAAAATGACGCCCACGTATTAGAGAACCTCCTCCTAACCGAAGTCAAGTTGTCAAGTACGCTCTGATAAATCTTTGTATAAATAACCTGATGGCTAAGCTGGGCTCTTTGGCAAGTATGAATGAATGAACGAATGAATGAATGAGCGACTGAGTGAGTGAGTGTATCGCCAAGAAACAGCAAATGACTTTTAACTAAAAACAAAAAAAAAAAAAAAATCAAAAACATTACAGAACAAACAACAACAAAGCAGTTCCGAGTGCCAAACAGAGCCAAGTTTGTCAAGTCAACTGGGTTTAAAACTGAATTGGAGACTGCTGATGACGCCAACATTGCGTCTGTCTCAATTCTCAGCTGTTCTCAGCAATGCGACCTTTTTTGAGACTGAATGAGACTGAGAGGGAGACTGAGACTGAGACTGAGATGTAGACGGGACAGGCTTATAAATAGCACAAGTCCGTTTCGAAGGCGCTTCAGTTAGAATCGAGCGCTTCAAGTGGAATTAATATAATAATTATTAGCTTTTTTTTACTTAAAAACAATTTAAAAATTTGTATATATATTTAAACTCTTTTTTTGTGGCCAAGTACTGTATCTAAGAAATATGGTGAGTGCACTCAAGTGATTGTAAACAAAACGCTTCACATCAATGGAATTGTTGATTTATTTTTTTTATGTGTATATAGTTTATTTGTTCTTTTTTGTTTTGTTTATTTGTTTTTTTTTTTTTTGTAAATTACACACAAAGACAAGACATAAAAAATGCATTAAATACGCTACGTGAGCGAAATATTTAAATCATGTATCTAGAATACGAAGCAAAAAAGAGATATCGAAAATAGTCGAAGCGGGGGCAGATTCACTGGAAAATCCCTCAGTTTGAGTTTAGTTTGAAGTATTTGCTTCCGGCACTTGGCGATGGCCAACCCGCCAATGAATCACAACCATCAAATATCAAGCAAAACTGTTTTTAAAAAAGTAAACAAAAATGAACAACAAATATTGTTCAATCGATGGCAAATGTATATGAAAAGATACATTTGCGACATATTGTTAATGGGGTAGAAATATCTTATTGGCTGCCAGAAGTACATACCGAAGATTATATACTCTTAATACATACATACATACATATATACATACATTTACCATGGTAAACGATTGTTGCTATCAGAACTATATGAATACTAAGTCCGATGTTGAGCAAAAGGCATAACTGATGAGTTCGATTCGGACATTTTGGTAAACAAAATATAACAAAATATGACAAACAACAACTCAGCTTTCGACAAATCGTTTCTATGAAAACTATAGGATATATTAGTCCGATGTTGATAATTTGTAGTGCAAGTGTAAAGATAATAACGCACACATATTAATTAAGTTCGGTTCGGATATCTTGGTAAATAAAAAAGTTTTTCATACAAGAAGTCAGCTGTTAACCGATCATTCCTATGACAACAATATGATATAGTAATCGGATTCATCAGGATAGTTTTAAAGCTGATTTGCATAGAAACGGACGCACGGATATATCTTCTTCAATATCCTATAAAGGTATAAAAATGAAATACCTTTTAAAAATAAATTCTACTAAGATCAATCAGATAATTCGAATACTCTTACTACTTATAAGGAGATAATATACAAAATTGATTTTTTCCAAATTAATTTGAATCAAATGATGATGACTCTTTCTCTCTCTCAGAATTGTAGTTATGTCAATTCCCAAAAATAGGATCAGTTATAAGTTACCGCTCAGCAGTCAAAATATGCTATTAATCAAAGTCATTTAACAATTGATTAGGCTATAATGTAAGAGTAGCTCCGAAATATATATGTATATACTTGTCATGTATATGTCTGTTTATCTATGTGTGTGATGTATGATCGATTCGAATCATGCTTGGCAAATATTTGATTTGTTTTGGGCCACCTACTGCTTAAATTTGGCCATGCTGAAACTGCTGTACAACTTAATTATATTATGCCCATTCGAGCTTAAAACAATTAGCATAATTCCACTGAGTTTATGAATCATATTTAAACATAAATCGAAGTGACTAAAACAAGTGGCAAGAACAAGTTTAACACACTGTATGTGTCATAGGCAAACAATTATCGGCAGCCAGTCTAATTTAACTCGATGACATTTCTATATAGGCCAACGAGCAATAAACTCATCCCAAAATTGGTAACAGCTGCTGGCCAAGCACAAATTCAATTAAGTAGCCCAGCTAAATCGAAATCGAAATTTCGCGCTGCCCTGAAATTAGTCATAATGTTCAAAACGTTCCTAAATTCTGATGTCGTTGTTTGTTTTTATTTCTTTTTTTACTTAGGAGTTTTATTTAATTTCTTGTCAAACATACGAATAAAAATATATACCCTGAAAATGGGAAAAACGAGTATAATGATTTTGTGTGAAAGTATGTGGCACATAGACAACAACCGATCCATCTTATTAATAACACATCTATATCAGAGACTAACAGAGGTAGATCGGAGATCTATTTAATTTTATCGACTCACTTTTAGAAATGCATATATATTTTAAATATATATATATATAAAGTCGGGCCATGACTTAACCTTGATTATCCTTAGATACTATTGGATAAGTATACTTTTGCACTTTAAATTTATAATTATTTCGATATTGATACAATGAATAGTACTCAAAAAAGATTCACGATTCATATATGTATGTATGTAATATGATATTCAGCATAATTTTGCGTATCTTCTTGCTTCGCTCATCCATTTATAAAATTCATTTATAAGTGTTCTATACGCTAATTTTGTCTTGAAGTGTGTGCATTTCTTTAAAACGCCTTTTACAAGCAGATCTATCTATTATTATATACTTTATAGCATAAATGTAATAAATACCATTTATCTAATCACTTTTCATCTCTTTTCATTGACAGCATCGGGAGCTCGTGGGACTTGCGGTGATACTACTGGCACTCTGCTGCCAAAGTAGCATAGGTAAAAAGCTTGAGAAACGTTGTGTCAATTGCTCATATCGTACGTATTACACCTATGGCGATGGCCGATCCCTGCAGCGTGTCATCTATAGAGATCCCGTCTACACTCGTGGTATTTACAAATGAGAAAAAAATTAAAACAAAAAAAAATATATATTTATCATCTACGTTCAGCATCTCTGCTGCGTTCACTGAAGCACTTAACTAAAAAATAACACACACACACTTTCACACACACACACACACAGTATTAAGTAAATAGTTAAATGTTTTATTAAATTTATTTTATTACACCCTATTAAGTAAATAATTAAATGTTTTATTTGTATGGTTAAATTAAATCATATCACATAAGGCACTAAAAACACCTTTAAGCAATAATACACACCTCTCTCGTCCCGCCCACCCCTCTAAAATCCCTGCCTTTAGCTGCCGATACGTACGGGTGCAGTGGCAATCCGTGCGGTGCGAATGCCGTGTGTCAGGAGGCTGCCGGCGGCCGTCCGGTCTGCTCCTGCCCGCCCGGCTATAGCGGTAATCCGCTTACCCACTGCAATCGTGGCGAGTGCCTGGACAACGTCGACTGTCGTGGTGACCTACACTGCGTAAAAAATCGTTGCGTTAACCCATGTGTGGGTACCTGCGGCATTGGCTCCAACTGTGAAGTACGTACATATCTATTTGCCCCTCATCGCACTCCTCTTTCACATCTAAATACTTATATTAATTGAATTTGTAGGCCAAAAATCATGTGGCTGTATGCAGCTGCCCAGCTGGCTATAACGGAGATCCCTATACGTCCTGTCGTCTCGATGATCCAGGTAACAAAATCAATGCTCAAATACACTCAGCAAAAGAATCACACTGCATTTTATAATAATCACCCTTCATTTATTATCCACACAGCATATTTCTAAAAGCAAAGTTTATGTTCATAAAAAAAAAGACATTCCAAATCCAAGGTAGATTTTTCTAGACAACAATTTCAAAAATTTCCAGGGTGTTTTTTTTTTTGTATATCTAAACAGTGTACACGGAACTCTAAGATTAGCTTTTGTTAATTATTATTATGAGTATTTCCAGCGGTTTACTGAGTGATACTGAGCTACAAGGCCTCAAAGCAGACAATAGCTAAACTTTCGTTACTATTTTCTGAAGTTCAAATAGGATTTTTTTTTATTAAGAGTTTGCAGTTCAACTTTGTAGGAATATTTGCTGTCATTAAGAAACATATTTCTGAGCCTGTATAATATTCGGAAATTTGTATTTCAATAAAGCAGAAAATTGTCTTTAGTTTTTAACATATTATTTTATATATTTTATTTAAATATATATGTAGAAAGAGAGAGTGAGAGCGGTCCGATCCTGCATAAAGAAAACGTATGGATATATTTCAAGATTCATCAAGATAGTTTTTAGGCAAACGGATATTGCTATATTTACTCGGCTAGTGATGCTGTTGTACTGGAGACGCCTCATCCAAACTTCATAGTAATGTACCAATAATATATCCATTATCCAATGATGCATATTTAATATTTTTAAGTCAATTACTTACCTATATAACACACAGCAATTAGCATTATTTTTGTTGTTGTTGTTGTTGTCATTGCTATTATTTGCTCTGAAGCAAATTAACTGGTTTTGACCAAAAACAGCCATTTTCGGGCTGGGTCGATGTATATATTTTTATACCTGTATGTTTGTAGGTTGATTGGTTGGCATGCATAATAATATTTGCGCTGAATAAAATACAATACAATACAATATAATACAATACAAGAGCAACAACAACGCCCAATACAATACTCAGGCACTGGCGCTTTTGTAATTTTATGGTAATTAGCTGGTGTTTTGTTTCGCAATTGTCAAGATCAAGGACGGGCCAAGTAGGCTACGGCAAAATCAAAGCAAACCAGAAGCAAGTTGATTATAACGACTATATTTATATATATATAATTTGTCAAGTATTTTGAATCCAATTAGTATTTTCTTTTTAGTATATCTATCTTCGATGATGTTTCTTTAATCGCATCTCTGAGCTACTAAATAAATATTTAGCAATAAACCGCGTTTTTGCAAGCAAATTTCGAATCGATTGATCGAAAAAAAAGAGGTTTTTGTAATAGAATTTGAAAAGTTGAAATCAATGTTTCAAAACCTTTCAATAGATTGTTAAATGTGCCCAAAATATATGTTTTATATTAAAAAAAAAGAAGAATTTGAAAAATATTAAAGAACACATTCTATCTGTGGAAATAATGCTGAGAATTGTAGCGTATCTATAAATTTAAGTTCACATTTTCGTCTTTTGTTTTTGTTGCTATTATTGCTGTCATGTTTTGTTTGTTGTGTGATTTATGCTGGGTCATGTAATTCACGTGCAGGTCGTTGAATTCCGGCACTGACCCCTCGAAGGGTCCGTCACGGTTCTCCCCCTGCTCCTCGCACTTATCCTCACACGCACTTGAGTACTATAACAAAGCGCAAATAATTGGGGGGCGGGTGTGGGATCGAGTCACTTGAAATGGACCCTGAATAAATCGGCGATGGCCAACACCCTCAAATTCATACCCAACCAACATACCCACCCAACATCACCCCTCCACGGCGAGTTCAAATACATAAGTAGTCAAAGCTCATTTATGCGCATAATTTTTACTTATAATTTGCTTTCATTTCTATGGCCATGCCAGTTGGTTTTCATGTTTTGGGGTTGCTGTGCCCTGTTGCCAGTTCTCAGTTCTTAGTTACTTGTTCCCGTCGTTCCTTTCATTGATGATGATTATAATGCGGGACAAGTTTCGAAATTGGTATTTGTTTCCATGACAAAAGTTGTGCCATAATCGCTGGCAATGGTTAAGAAAGAAAGTCAACTAAGAGCTAAATACTTATATTTATTTATAGATTTGGTCAACATGATTCGCGTGCCTGGCTTCGCTTTTGTTTGCCAGTAGGCAACTGACGATAACTGCTCATACATATATATAAATTTATATTTATATTATTATTCTTACCTTTTTTTTATATATATATATATATATATTTTTGGTGCAATTTGTACAATTTGAATTGCTCCCTGATGACAGCCAAACTATTCACAGCTCGAAACTGGCCGCTGGACAATCATCAACCATTCGTGCATATAGCTTCGTTATGTATTATATAAATTGCATGGCCAGCTCAATTAGTATCCTTATATGGCGGCATATGTGTGGGAAACTGCACTATGCAAGTACATATATACATACACATACACACGTATATACATCTACTTTGGTATGCCTTCAATTTATGGGCATGCTGCAAATGCATATAAATCAGTGTTGATTTAAATATTCATGCAAATTAGTAATTTATTAAAGTGCTGTCGACGGTGAGGTAAATACAATGCATTTCAAACCCTACATATAAAAGTCGCAAACAATTTGCCGTTTTTAATTAAAGTCTGATATTTGTTGTTGGTAATAACTAAATCATCATTACATACAATTCGTTATTCTCACCAATAAATTAGTTCACTTTACTCGTCCTTCCACTTTGTAGCTATGCCATTGTTTATACTGCAAATATATATTTATTCGGCATTGAAATTCACATTAAATAATGCCTTGAGCAAGGCATCATCCAATCCCCAAACAAGTTTTATTGCTTAAGTTTTACTCAAATCCACTGTTGAGTTGTTTTTTTCTTTTTCTTCGTTTTGTAAGAGCCTTTTGTTGGCAAACAAAATGATCAGTATCGAACAACAATTATGTTATCTATAAAAATTTAAATTTAAAAAAGGCAGAACCGGAACCGTTGTGCGAAATTAAACAATTACAAACTCATAACCAGTATAGAAACCGATATTGAAAAAGTTGTAAGACGCAGAAAATTGAACTGAACCGAACTGAAATGATTATTATTTTGATTAATAATAATATGAATCTACAAAGGTTTGATATAAACATAAAAAATGATCGGCTAGTGATGCTGATAGTTTATGAGTTCGAAAAGTCTCATTTAATATAAAAACTAAATTATAATTAATACTCTAAAGAATATAAAAAATAGTAAGAAATTTAAGCTGCCCTTCAAAATGAAAATACAAATATTTCAAGATCATTTCGTTTTTCTGCGCACAATTAAAAACAAATCTGCCGATAGGAAGCACTTGACTTTTATACTGCTTTGCAATGGATCTGATCAAAATTATTGGGGATTATTGTCTACTCTAATTAATAAAATTAATTAATCTCAGTCTGCTATATTCCAAAGATATCCATTTGATGAGTTTGCCTCGATCTTACCTTATTTATTGGAAAGTGGATACTTTATAACTTTGTTCACAATTTGTTATTTTTCATATTTTTGCTATTTTTATGCAAAAATGATCTTGCACAACAATGAAAACGCATTTCTATTGGGAATTGCAAAACCCTAGAAAAAAAACCCTTTCTTGACAGTCTAAAGAATTGATAATTTTGTTATTATATTTCAATGAAAAATGCATCAAATTTAACTATATTTGCAGAGGAACAATGCCATCCGAGCCCGTGCGGCATCAACACGAAATGCGAGATTATAAATGGGGTGCCGACCTGTTCCTGTTTGCATGGCTTTTTGGGCAATCCGCTGAGCGGGTGTCGCCACGAGTGCGAGCACGATGGCGACTGCGCCAGCCGGGATATGTGCAGCAATTACAAATGTGTGCCATCGTGTGGCCAGTGCGGCATTGGTGCCAACTGCAAATCGGTGGCCAGTCATCGGGCGGTGTGCGAGTGCCCCAAAGGCTACATTGGCAGTCCATACACAGAGTGCCGGCCGGAATGTTATGGCGACTCGGATTGTCCGGCTGGCAGGCCGGCCTGTTTCTATGGCATCTGCAAGAACACATGCGTTGGCGCCTGTGGCGTCGGTGCCGATTGTAATCTGCGCGGCTTGACACCGGTGTGCAGCTGTCCGCGTGACATGACCGGCGATCCATTTATAAGCTGTCGCCCATTCACCAAGGAGGATCTCTGCTCACCGAATCCGTGCGGCACGAATGCCATCTGTGTGCCCGGCCACGATAACACGGGACGCGAGAGACCCGTCTGCAATTGCCTACCCGGCCACACTGGTAATCCGCTCTCCCATTGCTCACGCGTAAGTACTCATATAAATCTATATATAGGGGTGAAGACAATAGCTTGTGAACATTCAACAAAAATCTAAATATCATGTCCAGAATACAATACATTAATTTGTAGGATATAAGCTATAAATTAGAATCAGAAGGCTCCGGCTTAAGAAGTCAAAGAGGCTTCAGTAAAAGTCCATATTGAGCTGGACAGTGAAACAGATCCGAGCAGATTCTTATGGATATTGTTTGCAAAATATATAAGGTTTGATTCTATTCATTACAACAAAGACTGAGCTATCCAATAATATTAAACGAGCCAAGGACATCACGGACAGAGCTGAGATAGATAGAAGATAGTGCATCAACTCTAAGATATAGGAAAAACTCAACAATTAAATAGCCACATTAATTGGAAGGTCTCTGAATTTCTGAAGTGGCAAAAAAACATTGAAGACTCGTAGGATTCAAGTAAGCTAAAGATAGCTAATAGAATATGCAGTAAAGGTCCTTTAGTTGCGATGAAAACCAGATCAATTTATTTGCAAACGATGCTTAAAGATGTAAAGGATAAAGTCACCAAAATGTAAAGGATTTCATATTAAATTAATACAAATATCAGTCATGCATGGTGCCTGCCAACAATTTATTGCTTTCACACCTATTTTACTGTCCAGCTGATATACAATTTATTTATACATATTATTTTTGTGCAGGGCGAGTGTTTGAGCAACACCGAGTGCCCGGATCACCGGGCCTGCATTAACTATCAATGCGTCGATCCGTGCATTGGTAAATGTGCCTCGGGTGCCACCTGCGAGCCGAAGGCCCATCTCGCTGTCTGCCGTTGCCCGGCAGGACAATCGGGTGATGCGCTCATCTCCTGCCGCCAGACACGCACCTTTCCCGTGGCCAAATACCATTAAGCTAGTGGAGACGAGGCGTGGCCCCCATCTGAGCAAACGCCACACTGCCTGCCGCCCGAATTCCAATCGATTTCACACAACAAAACATAAAGAAGAAACTGTTAATTTAACTTGCATCTAATTCACTGACGAATATTAAGAAACTACGACTTACATTGCAATAATACAAAATAAAATTAATCTTCATTTATACAAAAAAAAAAAAAAAAACACCAAGTTTGAAAGCGCTTAAGAATTGTGGACAACTTTTTGACCCAATTCTCGAACTCTCCCTGTTCAAAGTCGCACAAAAAAAACTCTGAAAACTGGCTTGAGACTAAATCTAGAGATTAGTAATCAGCCAAAAGCATAATTTGCAAACAATTCTAGCATTATGTTTTGAACTAAATGCAGATTGCAAAACTCAGCATACAGTTTTATCAGTCAATCAAGAAATTAACAATATTTTGATAATGAATTAACAGCGTTATTAAAAAAAATGTAATTAGTTAATTTATTTGATACCGTCTCATACTGCTTACTTTCCTGAATCTTCTCAAATATATGGTATGTATGGATGATTATTAATGTGGACCATGCTTAAATACAACATATAACGTTCCTAAATTTGGTTAATGAAGTATTCAACACTCTGTGAATCGATCGCACTTTCTAAAAGTCTGTCCACTAAACATTTATCATATTTGGTGCTGAAACACACAACAAATCTGTATACGATTTCGATTTATGAATCTATACATATATATATCAAATATAAAATACAATCATATACAATATAAATATCAGTTTCATATGTAATTGGCGTTTCGAAAACGATTGCAAATTAATTTAGATACGACAAAAAAAAAATATACTTGTTAATTTATAGTGATTATGTATATATATATATATAAATACATATATATATATATAATTTGTATAGTGCACACAACTGAACGGTGAGTAAAATGTTAAATGTCGGTCGGTCGGTCAGTAAGTTAATTAGTTGTTGACTTTTGTGGAACTGCTGTATATGCATGTATCTATGTATCTATTGTGTGTATGTATGCATGTATATATGTATATATGTATGAGTATGCGTATAAGTTGTTTCCTTGAAATGATAAAACCGTATAAATTTCTTTACATTTTTCTTGTCTCGTTTTCTCTGCTGCTTGCTGCGTATTCGCAATTATTGTTACATTTCTCGTCATTATTGTAAATACAATTTTTCTTTGATTTGTGTTTCGGTTTCAAATATAAATATATTCTTGTATAAATATGCAATTTGTTTTCTTTTTTTGTTTTGTGTATTCCTTTTTATATATTTATATATATTATACATATTTATACATCAATGCACATATATATAGATATATATATATATGTATACATGTATAGAATATATATGTAAACTGCTAAATACAATTAATTGCGCTTTACATTTTTTTTACGGCTCTAGAGGCTTTACAAAAAAAAATTATAAACAGAAAAAAAAACCAAAAAAATTGTCTTGTGTGTGTGTGTGTGTAAGCTACATATGTTTGTCTATCTGTGTGTGTGCTGTGTATGTGTGTATGTGGTTGTGTGTGCCATCTGAACCTGTACTACGCGCCCCCACAACATATCCTCATCAACATTTTAGTGCTGCGGCTACTGCTGCTGCTGGTGCGGCGTCGCTTTCAACTGCAACATTTGTTGGATTTGCCCTTATTCTTGTGTGGCTTTACAACGATGCGATCCCTCTGCTGTTCATCTGAGGCGGCGCGCAGTTTATAATTCAACACCTGCCGCGTTATCGACATAAACATATCCTCCACATTGATGTTATCTTTGGCAGATGTCTCGAACAGCTCAATATCCATTTGACGCGCATAACGTTGCGCATCCTCCGTAATGACAACCTTACGATCCGGATCATCATTCTTGTTGCCCACTAAAAAAAATATATATATATCGGTTATTTCAAGGGGATATATGTAAACACACACCTGGACAGTAAAATGGGTGTGAAGACATTAACTTGTGCATTTTTTTAATATCATTTTGAAAATAGAATACAATTACTTCGAAAGTATATCAACATTTTTTCTTAATGAAATTCAGAAGTTCGCGAAGTAATTGCAATTTCAATATTATAAGGCCTTAACTGACCTATCAGATAATATAAAGCGTAAACTCTATCAAGAAAACTCTAAACTCTAATCAAAGAACCAATTAACAATTGCATCGCCGCATCAATTAAACTTCTTTACACAAATGCTCTTAAGTCAGAAACAGAAATAAAGGAATAAACGTAATTAGCTAGTAGAATATCCAGAAAACTTTCTTTAAAGAGGAGGAAAAACTTCGCTTTGATTCCTCAGTACAAACAATGCCACAAAATTCTCTAAAATGATGAAAATCAGATCAATTTGTTTGCTAACGGATACTAAATGTAAAGTATTCCATGTAAGATATTCCATATTAAATGCATATTGCCTTCACGCACACAACTATTTTACTGTCCCTGTATTGCATTGTATAATGGCAGCTGTACGCACCTAATACTTTGTTGACCACATCGCAATTGTGTTTGATCTCCTCCAGCCAGGTGCGGACATTCGCAAACGAATCGCCGTTCGTCACATCGTAGACGATGATGACGCCGTGGGTGCCACGATAATAGGTGCTGGTGATGGTGCGAAAGCGCTCCTGTCCGGCCGTATCCCATATCTGCAGCTTGACGCGCAGGCCATCGATGACAACGGTGCGTATCTTGAAGTCGACGCCAATCGTTGTTATATAACTGCCCGAGAATGTGTCATCTGAGAAACGAATGAGCAACGATGATTTGCCCACACCTGCAACAACAAAGACAACACAATTAATTAAAAATAATTATTTAAATAATACGACTGCAAGCGACTTCTATGCAACTATGCGCTTTCATTTCAATAGTTTATTTTTTCACATACAGTTGCGGTCAAGATACTAGCTGCCTTATGCGTTGCAAATACATAGTCAGTATCTTCATAACTCCTTTTATAATTCCTTTTCGATATTTCTCCTCAAAAAATATGGCTCATTTTATGGTGATCAATTGCACTGCTGAAAATCGAGAACTCTTCAAAATCTTGAATATGCAACAAAAATTCAATTCTGTCAAACAACAAATGATTGGTTTCTCATCGGGTACAACCATACTTAAATGATACTATTTGAAAATATAAAAAAAACCTTTACAATATGGCATTGAGTGCTGAGATTGCTGGCAGACGTCCCAAACATAATGGAAAAGTAGTTAGAAATCCAAGGCTATAATCCCTACAAACTGATTGTTCAGTGCTCAAATTAAATTTTCATAATTTTTCAAACTATATTTAAAGTGTTTTTTTTTTGAGTACTATTATTTTGATCGCAGCTGTAGATCAGTATGTGCAAGTTCTGTTTACCCAACAACAGCCACAACTAATCACTTAATAGCAGGCCGCTCTCTAATTACAAAACGCCCTTAAAAATAATACAATAATACACTCGATAGAATTCTGAGAGGGTTATGTGTGCTTGGATTTAATACAAATTGTTTATTAAACATTATCGACAACTTCATTTTTTTTCCTTTTTGCTCTTCTTATTTTATATTGCATAAAGAGCGAACAAGGAATGGCAGAGAGATTTATAATTGTTCGCCAATACAAATTGCGCGAATAGAGAGAGAGAAAAGCAAAAAAACAGCTGATTGGGCACAGCAAACACAAACACAAACAAAGAAATCGGTCAAACACAAAAACAGAAAACCAGGCAGACAGACAAATTGGAATTGAGCACAAACCGTGCAGATTTTTTTCTCCTAATAGTTTTTGTCGTTGTTCCCTTATAGTTTGTTGCTATTTATAACGTTATTGTGCAGGTGAAAAAAAAACATGCAAAAATGCATGCAAAAAAAAAAACTTTGTGTGTATGAGAAATATTTGCATTTGCACTTACCGCTGTCGCCGATTATTAGCAGCTTGAACATATGATCAAAGTGCCGTGCCATTTTTGAGCTGCTGCTTCTTCTTCTAGTTGTTGTTGTAATTTACAATAAAACGGCGTTGAGTTTGACGCTAGCAGCGGCGTTGACGCTGACGCGTCCAACTTAAACAATGCACAATTTTTGTGAAAATATTTCAGTTGTTGTTGTCCCACACACACACACACACGCGCACGCAGACACTCCCACACACATATGTGTTTCTTTGCCTCTCGCTCGCTCTGCTGCCGGTTGTTCAAATAGTATTATGATAAACCGTTGTTCTGCTGACTGCGACTGTGGCTGCTGTTGCTACTGTGTGTGTGTGTGTGTGTGTGTGATAAGATCCCGGCGTTAAAGCGCTTGCTGCTGCTGCTGTTGTTGCTGCTTTTGCCTTTCGCCTTTTGCCTTTGCATGTATTTATTATCAGCAATTTGGTTGGGATGGCGGCGAGGCAATTAAAAGTCTGACGGTTGCCGACTTGTTGTTATTATTGTTGCTGGTTGGTGTTGGAAGCACAGATGAAGTTATGTATTTTATTTGATATCCAAAAAAAAACTTACAGCAAGAACACAATTTACACGCACAATAAATTAGCAATTCTCGCCCTCTCTCTTCTCTTCACTCTTCTCTTCTCCGTCGTTCTATCTCTTTCTCGCACACAAGCGCCAGCGAATTATGGGCTCACACACACATATATATATGCACTTGTGTGTTTCAATTATATTTGGCTTATCTTGCACCGATACTGCTGACTGGCTTCAATATCTTAATTAAATTCATATTCCTAAATAATATTCATATTATGAGTAAATTATTACTAACGCACGGTATATATATATATATATATGGAATGAAGTACGGATGTAAAAAAAAATACATCGACATATCGATTGTGTGCAAGCGATATACAAATATGTGCGACAATTTACAGCACTAAACATCACTCGATAATTCGAGTCCACAAATAAAATAAAAATAATAATAATAATAAAGTCAATCTAATCTAGTTGAACTATAAATCATACATAAAAAAATACAATTTATATGTATTTAAAAATATTTTGCATTTTTAAAATAAGAACAAACGATAATCAAGTTTAATATTGAAGTTTCCAGTTGTCGTGTATATCGATTGTGCTGCTGGATAAAAACATCGATGTGTTTTGAATACAGAAGAGGTGATTGCAACTTATCGACTTTGATGACTTGCATATGTTCTCATTGCCAATCGACATCTATTTTTGGCGCACTATTCGACTTGAAAATCATTTTACTAAGCAAAAACATCAGTTTTTCTTTTACTCTTTTTGCGAAGCTAGTTTAATACATATACATATATATAGGCGAAAATTATATACGTTTTTCTAATATTCAAAATTAGTTTATGTTACGCACATAAGAAGTTTCCAAGCATATTCTCGGTTAGCTATGAATAAAAGCGAGACGCTTGATTTTCATATGTCTTTCCTTGTCTACTTTATGAAAAAAACGTTTCTAATTAAATACAAATTTAAATTAGAAGTGTTCAATTTTTCAAATCCATACATTTTTAATAAATTTCAGAATGTTATCTTTAATACTGCTATGAAAACTTAATGACTATGACTAATTAAAAATACAAAAAATGAACATTTTAATTTATTTTGTATATTTTGTGGAACGACCGCGCGTGCGACTCGCAATGACGGAATGATTGGCGATTTGATTGCGAAGTGAGATTCGTCTACGACCTGCTTGGACAGAGACGCCTGGCTGCTTCTTCTCCTTCTCTGTCACAATTTCCGAGGGTGGCTTCTCCTTCTTGTCTCTATTTGATGGTGTCGCCTCATTATTGTCTGTCCTCTTATTACGTAGTGAATATGGTGTGATTGTTGTCGTTTCCTGTTTAGCTGAATCGGTTTTCAGTTCATTGATGTCCTTATTTCTTACACTTCTGCGCAGCATCTTGAATCCCTCCCAATCTATATCCGAATCCGATCCAGAACATAATATATTGCCATTCTTATTCGAATAGGATGCCGATTTAGTGACGCCTGTGTTGCCACAGGTTTCTGGTGCGCGTCGCTGTTTCGGTGTTTGCGTTGCGATAAGCTTTTCAATAGGATCGAGATCATCGTCCGTACTATCCTCGGCGTTGGCCATTCCCACCACCTCCGAGCACGTATCGCAGTAATATTTATCATATTTTAATGGCATACAATTCGAATGCATCGGAATGGACCCACAGAAGCAACAGTAGAGCAATTGCAGATTATCTGCTTCGCGTCCATCGGGATTAACGCATCTGCGGGCGCTGCACTTAGTCTCCCGCCTCGTCTGATCCTCATACATACTTGTATTCTCCCAAGACGCATCGCTGTGGAAAAAATAATAACAATATCAATTTTAAATCAAGAGAGAACATTGCAGTCGGGCGTAATACTATGACAGCAATAAGTAAGACCATCTAATAACAGGTGCTATAGAATGGGGTAGCCAAGAAATACCGATCTTTGATGGAAGTTGCTAGTAATCTATTCTCCAAGTTTGGCCTTAAAATTACAGTTGATATAGGCTTTTAGTAATTTTTTGGGAGGGAAACAAAATGTTGTAGGGGATTCCCAATAATCTACCTTCAAGTTTTGGTAACTGTAATTCTTAAATTGCGATTGATATAGGCGATACTTAATAGATGCTGATCTTTGAAGGACATCGCCAACAGCTTAACTCAACATAATGATCACTGGACGAGAAAAAACTTACCATAGCGGCACACTGATACCCCATAGGACAACGGAACCAAACTTCTTGGAATCGTTGCACAAGGGGCACTTGAAGAAATAACCGGAGGAATTAGCATATTGCTGCAGGCAGGTTTTGTGGTACCAGCCATTGTTGCAACATTCGCCATGTATATGGTTGGTGCTGCTAAATTTTCCCCTCTTGTCGATGAGCATATCAAAGCATATGGCACACTTTTGATGCGGATCGGGACGATCTTCTTGTGGGTGCACATGCAATTTGCAAAACGATTCAAATTTGCCCTTAAATTGATACTGGGCACCATGCAAATTGCCACAATCGGTGTGAAATGTGCGACGGCAGCTCCAATGACAGCAGCCAATATTGGCGCTCTTCTTTGAACAATAGCAACATGACTGCAAGGAATTAATATATATATATATATGTATGTAAATTCAAATTTAAAAAATTACCAATTTCTTGACGCGTTCGGCTTCGGCTTTAATATCATCGATATCGAAATGAAGAATGGCAAATTTACTATTATAGCGCTGCGATAGATTCGAGCTCAAATACTGCAAGCAAAATGATTGTTATTTTCGTGAAATAATTGGTTTTGTATTTATTGCAGCACTCACCAGGCATCTCTCGTGCACATGCACATTGTTTAGTGTGTGAAATTTGCCCAGACGCAGCTCATTATCCACGCCCGAGCGGCAAATTATGCAATAAATCATTTTAATTATTAGTATACTTCTTAAATAATTGGTTCCCTATGTCAAAGATATTTGTCAAGCTATGCGACATTTCGATATTTACCAGCACTGGCGTATCGATACTCGATTCCTATTTAGGGATGTTACAAATCGTGCAACATTTTGGAAGGACGGTGTTGCCATATAACCATTTTTTTTATAAATTGTAATGTATTTTTAAATTTCATATTTAATTACATTTTATATATTTAATAAAATCGTAACATATTTCGATGCTCGATTCAAACAATTGTTATTAATATAATAAATATAAACACATTTATATATATATATATATATTTAAGTCATACACATTATAATTTCTCTTGGATCATCAATTACAATACAATTGTTCCATCTTGCACAAAAATGTCTACGGACTAAAAAACATAATTTGATTGCCTAATAACGACATAAATTCTATAAATAGTTTTATGCATATAGTAACTAAAAACTAGATTTTACACGCGGGTTTTTAGTTTTTTTTTTGTTGGCTTAATCTCTATATATATTGGGGCTTAAGTAGCAAAATTTTCAGTTCTCAAACTTAGATTAGATGCCGGCTCGCTCCAAGGCGGTAAGCTGTGTGCCCAGTCGCTCTTCCTTTGCTTTGCGCTCGGCGCTGGTCTTCTTCGAGCTTTGAAAGGTGCTGAGAAAGGTTTGCACATCGGTTTTACCATTTAGGAAATGTTCCACATGACGATCACAGTCGGCGTCCGCATTTGAGGCGGCTATTTGCAACAGTTCCTGCTCATAATAAAAATAACTATAATTATCAAAAAAAATATAAAAAATTTGTGTTTGTTTATTGCTTAAATTTTGTTGCATGGCATACTCGGATGTGCTGCGGTGCATATTCCTCAGATTTCTTCAAATACTTTTTGTTAAGCTGGTCACATTTCTCGCCCAGGGTTTTTAATGCCGTATAATCATCGCTGAGCCGTCGCTTCAACTCCAGCAGATGTGTGCCCTTATTCTCGTTTTCACCTGCGCACTCATATATAATAAATGTCCCTATAATTGATTTATAATTGTCATCTAACTTACGTGATATGTTCTCTACTTGATTCATCATCGAATCGAGTTCCTCGTTCAAATGCTGCACCACAGACATCTCCTCAATGAAGTCGTCAAAGAACTCGGGATCCTGATCGAGCTGCTTCAGTTCATCGAGTGACAACGTTGATAAATTTGGCATATTATCATCCTTCACTTTCGGTTCATGAACGCCATTACTTTCCTGCACATTCTGCTGCTTCTGTGGCGTCTGCTGCGCAGTAGGCATTTTTTGCAGTTTGCCAGCAATTCGCTATAAGTATCTCTTCCAATATTATCTATGGGCTAAAAATAAAACCTTAATTGCAGCTTAATCGATCACATATACATAGTTCTACATGAATTCGCCTACCCTTGCTAGAACTGTATGTATTTTCATCAACTTGTCGCTTTGCAAAATTAATATGAAAACTTGAGCTTTCTTCTTTCTTTTTTTTTTGTTATATTATAACTAGAACAAAATCGCATTCTATGAAGCACCGTTGGCTTTTGCCAACCAGAGTTGCCATTTAGCCGCAAATATAATATATGAACAGCTGGTCAAGAAATGTATATGTATGTATATGCCCGTACATATAATAAAATATAAGGACTGTTTGATTTATTACTTATACAATTATTTTTGGTAATTTAAAATATTTTGGAACACAACATAGTTACTCAATTTAAATAATACACATACATAACGAAGGTAAACGTAAAAGAAAAGCATTTTACTTACTATCTTACAAATTACAAAGCTCTTATTAATTATATTCAAAAAAATTGCAATATTATTTGTGTGTCACAACTCTAGCTAGCTTGGTAACTCTGTCAAAGACAGTGTTGCACTTCCATAGGAGCAAACAGCTGTTCGATGTTTTTTATATCTGATTTTATAATTGGGAAGAACGCGTTGCTAAACATTTATATAATAAACAACAGCGTGCAGTCCTAGAAAATGGCGTTGTTCGAAATGAAATGGCTGCGTCGCTTTGTGCGGCGCAACACAAGTCCAATACCGGAGCATCGTGCCGATTTGTGGAAGCGCCGCTTGAGCATTGGCTATGCGATATTGGCGTGGCAGGCATTCGGCCTCGTCTGTTACATGGTCTACACGGGTCGCAACGACTGGGCCAAATACTATGGCTACAAAACGGAGGATGAGCTGTCCTTGTCGCCGGCCCAACAGTTCGCCAGGCATGTCAAAGTGGAGGGCACAGGCAAGATTATACGTATATCGGGCTTTTCCAAAGTAGAGGAGGTCCCTTTCGACTCGAGCACCATTGACCGGGTGAAGGACTAAGCCTTATCCCTTAGTTAGTATATATATCAATTTTTTTGTTATTTATATGTTTTTCTTATTGCAAAATCGATGTAATAAAATAGTATAAATTCTGTGCAAAGAGTATGTTGGTATTTTGTATGCCGTGCAGAACGGTCACACTGGCCGCGCAGCAAACAGAAACCGACTTGGCTGCAGCAAACACAAACAAGCTAAAAGCCAAGGCTGCTAAAACACAACACAGACTTCAGCTGCAAAGCCAGCGACAAACAATATAATATAATAAAGTAATATTGCAAAGGAAATATAAAATTAAAAATATTAAAAGTTGTTTGATTCTCGTGTCTTTGCCATTGCTGTTGTCATCCCTTTGTGTCGCGATGCATTTCGTCTATAAATAAAACAAGAAGAAGAACCACAACAACATCGAAATCTATTTAATGAATATTAATTGGTTATCAAGTCGAGGTCAAACAGACTACATCTCCCTCTCTCTGCAGCGGTAGCTTATGCGCGTGGTTTTGTGTGTGTGAGAAATAACGGGATTTGCAGCAAATGACATTTGCGCTGCTCTTGTCTAATTGGAATTGTTGTGCCGATGAAGAAATGCTTAAAATAAGCTCCAGCCGCAAATGATTGCATTAGTTGAATTTTTTTTTGTGTTGCAAGGCTTCTTCCATTCACGACACGCATACGAATTTCTAATGCAATTAACGTTCGCGCCGCCTGTGGCTGCAGCCGCAGCTGTGTATAAATAAATATATATGTATAAAGAAATATATATATATATTATTTATGTGCTCATCTTTCTACTTGCTTTTCTTAATGCTTTTCATTCAACACAGTTATAAGAGAGAGTGTCAAGTGTTAAACAGCGTGTTCATCTAACGGCATTTAAATTTAAGTGTTGCCAATTACCAAAAAGCGAAGACAAGTGCAAGTGCTGCAAAAAAAAAACATACACACGCACATATATTATATTTATATACATACTTATATACATAGACATATAGGTATATATGTGTGTGTGTGTGTCGTTGATTGATTATTGTTGCTGTTGATTGCAGTTGTTTCTTGGATTGCATCTCTTGCGGGTAAGTTTTCAACAATTATGACAATTTGTTTGCTAGCTCTCTACACAATACGTTGATTGCTTGCTGGCTGGCTTATAATTAAAAACACATTAATTATATAATTTGAGTGAAATTTCGTTGACTTCACTTTCCAATTCTAAACCAGCAGCAACTACGAAAAATTAAAAAAAAAAAAAAAGAAAAAAACCATAACAAGCAAAACGTAAATCATTAACAACTAATGCATACATTTAGAAATGCAACAACAATGTCAATAGCAAAAGATATTGGAAGAAAAGAAAAATAAGAAAAAAAAGTAAGTTTCTATTTTTGTGGCTCAGGCAAAAAATGAAACCGTTTTCTAAAAATATTTCGTCGAGAAACGAAAGGAAAACGGATTATTATAATAAGTTTGAACAATCGAATAATAAAAGCACACATTAAACAAGCGCCGCGAAATGTTTAGCATATGGTAAAAAAAACGCGAACAAAGCGTGCGATAAACACACACACACACACACAATCATAAATCTACACATGTCAACAAAGCATATTTTCAAAGCATGAAAAAGGGAAAGGAAATCGGAATGGGAATGGGAATGGGAATCGGTATGTGCGAGAATATGGCGAGGGGCAGGTTGAAGAAAGGGAAGGGGAGAGACCTCAAGCGATGACAACGAATTTGTGAGACGCTACACCCAAAATGATATCGATAACTCTAAGTTGATTGATTGATAGCACATGGTTAATAATATCTGGTTTCATCTAACACTTAAATTGATTTGCTTGTCGATTAAATAGAGAACTTTCACTTTGAACTGCGATTTAAGAAACGTTATACACTTATCAAAATAAAAAATCGCCATACTTTTGGCGCCAATTACCCTATTACCCCATTATTCAGAAAGTGAGTTTCTCAAATTTATTGTTGCAGCTTTCACTACGGCTTCCATTTCTAAATATCATCTTGATTTTTCTAATATTTAGAAAAAATATGTATAATTTCGACAGGGGGTTGTTTTCTACTACTACTAATTATCGGCTTAACTTGTATTAATATCGAAAACGAAGTTTTTAGTTAAACGAATTTATCGATAACACAGCTCAATTCACGGTCCCCCAAATAGCAAAGACAGACATCTTTCTCGCGCACTCCAATTTGTAGGGTAGATCGGGCGCACCAAAGCGTAACACATACATAGGCAAAATGACAGACTAACCGAGCGACAAACCAACAGTAAAAAAACTAACAAACGAGCCGCTCACACGAGTAAATGCCCATTGAACTGGACTTTTTTTTATTTATATACCCTGCAACCATTAAACGCATTTTTTATATACCCTGCAATCATTAAGCGCATCAAATGTAACAGCAAATACTGGTGTATATATGAATAATTATACATATATATGTATTATGTAGACTATGTCAAGATTGTCTATTTCTTTCATTTTATTTGCAAAAAAAAAATGTAATTTATCATTGACTTAAATTTTTTCCTTATTTTTTTACTATCTAATGAAGTTTTTACAACTGGACAAGAAAAAAGTTATCACGTTTCATTAGCACAGGCAGCTTTGAAATTTTAAAAACCAATAATATCCATTCTTTGGACTGGGAAGAAATCACTTAACAATCGCTGTTTATAATTTTGCAATTCACATTAGAAGTGCGTGTTTTTCTTTTGCCTTTCGGCTATATTCAAATTTGTCCATGCAAGATCATTTTTGTATACAAATAATAATGATGTAACAAAAACCTACATATTAAAGATACGAACATCGCCAGCATTTTAATATAGTTCGAAATCTTCGTCATACTATACAGACAAATGAAAATATGCATAAATTTCAATTATTCACAAAAAAAAATCACTTCTTCAGTCATTATATACAATAGAAATATATTATTCATAAATTTAAATTTTTCAATTAATCAACAACAAAAAATCACTTCTTAAGCTAAAGTCTTCACATACAATAGAGATATATTACCCACGTATATATTTTAGCAAATTCTTATGCAATTCAGATCATAAAAATCGTAGTTAATGCAACTTTTTTGTCGATCTAGGGTATCTAATAGTTGAGTGAAAGAATCAACAATGCATTTCTACATTGTTGAAAATATACTTATGTCATGCTCCGACTGTCCGACAAGTTAACTGCCCACTGGGTTTCTCTGAGTTCTCTGGCGTAATGTGATCCGTTAGTGCCGCCCAGTGATCAGCGTGGGGCGTTAGGGTGAAGGGGGACGGGGGCACCCACTGTGTCGGTTATCACGACGCCCCGAAGCAGCGATAACTGACGTTTGCTACTAGATGGTCATAGACCTCAACGAGTTGGCCAAAACCAAAATCAAAAGCCAAGCAATAAAAATGAAACAAGAAACAAGTATGCAGCATGCGCTTGTAGAGAGTATGCGGCTAGCATATACCCTGTACAAACAGTTACTTTAAGAATGCATACAATGAGCAAAAAAATAATACTAAAAAATAGAAAAACTAGAAATAATTTATATATATTTATGTTTATCGATTTTAATCGATTTCAGTGATGTTATATTTTTAGATACATACACAAATATACACAAGCAGTGTGTATATAGCAAACGATATAAGGGATGATTTCTTCTGTCTGTTACATACATTTGCTGGACTTGAACATACCCTGTTGAATAGCTCAAAAGGTATACAAATACAAATAATAAAAACGTAGACATTTAACAGCTGAATACCGCATATGTGCATACATACACACATATATATATGTACATAAATACATATATGTATAGCCGACGCGGTTTGTGGCTTTTGTGGTTCCGGTAACCACTTCCAGCAGCCTCCTCACCTCGTGTGGTGCTGGTGGTGCTGATGGTTTTGTCCGCTTTGATAAGCACACGCACGCAGAAAAGCTTTCCGTAGATAAATAATTCGGTCGAGAGCCAGAGCAAAAGATGATGTAAAAAAGACATCAGACATCAGTTGCTGCTGGCTACCTGATGAGTCCATTGTTGATTGCTGATTGTTCACTGACGTGACTGACTTGAATGTATCTGCTAAATGCCAAAGAATACGAAAATGAATCAAAGAAAATGAAACTGAACTGTCATCTATGGCTATGAGTGGTGTGATGAGGTGGGAATGGAGTGGGAAGGGCAGAGCAGTTAAGGAGAGGGGACGGTGTTGAGGCAATGGCCGGCCGGCCGGCTTCTTGGTTGATTGGCCTATGGGCCAGATCATCAGCAACTGGAAAATGCTCGCAGAGAGCATAATGACTGAAATCGATACAATCCAAGCCAACCCCTCCTCGCCCCCCCCACTCATCGTTTTCCAATCCGCAAAACGGTGCAGAGAACAGCGAAGAGTGATTGATGTTTTATGTTCAAACAGAAGTAACCTAAAAGAGACATCTGTAAAATACACTCTTAAGAAAAATCGTCCAACATTTTAGTAAATCGCTATACTTTATTATTCATAGAGAAAATTTCTCAAATATTTGGTTCCAAATTTTAAATTTCTTAAAATTTAGGAGAAAATATATGTCAAACTTACAGGGTGTTGTCTATGGTGTTCAGGTGTCCTTACACTCAGAAAATATCTACATAAATTTAAAAACAATGTAAAATGTTTATGTTTAATTTTTAATAACAATATAATTAACAAAAATGTACACGACTGATTAATTCTTATATTCGCTTTTTTGTTAATTATATTGATATTAAACATTAAACATAAACATTTTGCATTGTTTTTAAATTTATGTAGATATTTTCTGAGTGTAAGGACCCCTGCACAGTAAGGACAGAAGAAAATGCACCTTCGATGCAAATTTCCAAATCGAAAGAAAGTTGACTCAATAGTTTGATCATTTCATTAGAAAATAGTTATTTATGCTTGTTTTTAACTTAATCCTAATAAACAACTCGCATATCTCTGCATTTATTTGATTCACAGCAAATGATGATATTTAGAGCACGCTGTAATTCTTTAGTCTTTTTTATTTATTTTTACCCGAGAATCGTTATTTTTTTTTCAGATTGCATGCTTTAATTTTAATTTCCTATTTGTTTGAATTCATATTTTGATGTCGCAAGTTTATTTGGTTTCTTGAATGATGATCGATTTATCGAAGCACAAAAAGAGAGAGAAAAAATATTATATATTATTAACTATAATATTATATATATATTTATATATATATATATATATATAGTTATATACACTATATATATTTATATGACAATATATATATAATATTATATTTAGTTAGTTAAATCAATCAATGACTTAAACAAACTTACTGATCAAGGCCTAAGCTTTTGCATCTTATTTCGTTGCGCCCGATCGTTCATTGAGAGTTGGTTTCACTGTTTTCTATCGAATTAAGTACTGAGTTGCGGTATTATTTTATACAAATATAGCGAAAGGCTTGGGCAAAACTTACGATCGGTTTGAACTTTAACGTTATCCGTACTGCATTCGATCCTCAAGCCGCAACTACTCCATACGGTTGTTAAAGATGATCCATCGTTCTCAAGCGCAGTCAACTTGTGGCCTCCGTCGAGTAAATCTGTTGCTAGCATATCCGTATCTTTTGTGTATTCGTTGGGATTGTTGTCTGGTGCGGAACCTTGCTTGAGATTGTCATTCAACATGCTTTTGAAGAACGGCATTCTGATCATTAAAAATACACAATAATATCACGAAATTCAATTTGGAGAGATTGATTTTGACCTGGGAATATGTTTGCTTTGAAATTGAAATGAATTGGAATTTGAATTTAAATTAAAAGCTGTCTGCTGAAATTTGAAATTTTTCGTACTTTTTTATTGAACGCGCGCACCGTCAAGTGCTGAAAAATACTTGTATATCATAAGTGTTGGGCAACACGCTACGCATGCGCTGTTATTCATTTACGAAATAACATTGTGCTGTTTTGCGCTGGCTAACTACGGTCACACTGCATACAGTTGACTCGTTCAGAAAACGCGCGTCGCTTCGCGTTCGCGTTTTGTTGTCAGTTGCTCAGCTCAGTTCTTTTTTTTTTCTTCGTACGCGCTGTGTTGTTATTCTCTTGTCTTTTATTTGTTTGTACCCCCACCCCTTCCCCTGGCTATATACGCTCTAACCTATTTCAATGGCTAACACTGTGTTCGGTATGATTGTGTGCGTGTGCAAAAAAAATACCTTTTACAGTTATTTGGTGTGAATATATCCAAAGTCCGAGCGTGTGTACGTGTCTTCATTTATTATGAATACCTCTGCTTGTATGTGTGTGTGTTCAATTCATTGTTAAGCAGTCTCTATGACACTGTTGTTGTTCTCGTTCTTCTACGCATGACATTCTTTAAGTGCTGCTGCTGCTTGATTTCAATTTACTTTCGTCATTGACAGTGAGCTAACAGCAGCCACAATTTCATGTGTAATTTAGTTAAACACACACACGAATGCAACTGCAGACTGACGTACGCTTGCACTCTCCCTCAGTGTTGCAAAACGTGTGCGAAATGTGCGCGCGTGCTGTGAATATATTTGATTTATTTGATTATAATGCACATTAATAATTAGCATTCATACGCCAAATGGGTTCACGGCGCTAATTTTTCGTTTCTTCGCTTGGCACATTTGTAATTATCTAATGGCAAGACACTTATCGCGCTGCAAACAACAGAGATAAACCCAAACCAGCCCGTATTAAAATACACATGTATTTGTATAAATTACCCACACGCACCTGATAAAACTCGAATGTAATTAACGAAAATTGCGACAAAAAAATCTGATTTTGCGTGCATGATGTCATTTTTTGATGTTTATGTTTCAATTTAAATGTGTCTCGCAAAGCCTTCTAACCAAATAAACATTTGCGTGTATCTCTTTTGTGTGGGTAGCAGCAGCATATTCCTATGAACCGTGTGCGCAGTTTGACGTCACAATTGCCTATTATTCCATATCAAGTTCAAGGATCACTTCTATTTGAAATTGTGACGGCACGTGATAGCGAAAAGTGCGAACTGTCAATTGTAGACTGTTAAGCATTACCAATATTTAACATAGGGCCGGCCGGCCGGATAAAGTCTTTATGTACCTTTTGTATGTGTGCATGATTTATATATATAAGCTATACTTATCCATCTTATTGCACTTTATTCAAGTGCTCAATTCGCGACATGAGTAATCAACACGCGCGCCACAAAATGACAATGAAAAACGTAAATGAAAATGACAATAAACCAGATGAGCAAACAACATATACAAACAAATTATTCACACACTTACATTGCATATGTATGGATGCATGTATGTGTGTAGCTGCATTCGACTTGAAACTAACTAGACGTTGACGTTGCAGTTTTAGTCTCTGTTTGGATTTCTGCTTTGCATATTTCAATTGCATACATATTTGTTTTAATGACTGCATACTAATGAAGAGGTGCCCATGATTTTTGTTTGTTTTTGTTTTATTCATAATTCTGCTTTTTCTATCTCATTGCTGACTCGACCGCTGTTAGTAAACATGACAGTGCTCTGTTATTGTTACTGTATGCAACTCTCTTTCGCTCGCTCTCTCTCGCTCTCGCAATCTTGAATTCTCGAACACAGAGCGGCTCAAAAATAATAACAACAACAATGCAAGCGATTGTCAGAGCCAAACAACAAAAGCAACTGCAACAACAGCAGGCAGAAGCGAGCAGCAGCAATATAAACGAGTTATTGTTTTTGGTTGCTGGTGTCGGCATGCAAGAGTTTTTTATGTGTTGTTATATTCGGCATCTGCTTTGAACTTTCATTCATCGTTTAGTTTCTTCTTCGGTTACTTGGTACTTCCATTGCAAATCTGCAAATTGCACAAATTCAAATTTTACTTTCTTTGCACACACACACACATACACGTAAACATAGCCAAATGAGTAGAGTGTCAAACCTAACATCGATTTGTGTTAATTTATAGCATGAATAGCGATAACGATTAATTTTAAGTGCCGATCACAACGACAAAAGACGAACGACGACGTTGCAATTGTTTCGTTCAAGTGCAACGATAAATAAATAAATAAATAAAAAAAAATCGAATCAGCCAAACAAACAATAAAATCAAAAAGTTGAAAGTTAATGATTAACGTTTTGCAAGAAACGACAAACGACAACAATTAAGCTACAAAAATAATACACAAAATGATTAAATTGAAATCATTATTTCGCAGAGGACAAGGAACCTCGAGTTCTGCCTCCTCCAACAACTCATCGCACAAGCAACAGCAGCAGCAACAACAGCAGCAGCAGCAACAACAACAACAACAACAAAATTCCAACAACAATCGACAAAAATCGCAGTCCAGCACATCACTTAATACGGCGCATGAGCAGCCACTGCAGCAACAACAGCAGCTTAACAACCCTGCAGCGACAACAACAACAAAATTTTATTCAAACAACGACGCGACTTACGAGCGAGGCGTCGATGTGGGCGACGAGGCTGCATTGCTGCTGACAACACAACAGCAGCAGCGACGCCAGCAACAGCAGCAGCAACAACAACAACAGTTGCTGAGCAATACGCTGCCGGCAAAGAAATCTAAATTTAAAGGACAAAAGCAGCCAAAGCAAATACCGCAACAACAACAACAACATCAACCGCAGCAGCAACAACAACAACAATTGATGACGTCGATTGCAGCGGTGCCAACACCAGCAACAAACAACAGCAACAATAATAACAATAGCAGCAATAGCGCATTGGCCGCATTGCAAGATGGCAGCGTTGCTGCCGCTGCCGCTGCTGATTTTTACCAGCAATTAGCAGCAGCAGCAGCAACAACAACAAACACGAGCGCAACAGGCAACGGCAGCAGCAACAACAGCAGCGCAGCAGCTGCAGCAGCAGCAGTTGCTGTCGCAGCTGTTGCCGCAAGCAGCTATCAACAACAGCAGCAACAGCAACAACAGCAGCAGCAACAACAGCAGCAGCAGCAGCAGCAAGAACAGCAGCAGCAGCTGCAAATCATCAACAACGAGCAACAGCAGCAGCAACTGTTCGAGGTGAGTAAATCAGCAACAACAGCAATAACAAGTGAAAACGTTGCGGAGTCGGGCATAACCGACTGCCAAATACTCTGCTACCAATAAGTAATCTGTTAATAGATGCCAAGAAATACCGAGTAATCTGCCAAGTTTGACTTTAAAATTACAGCAGATATAATCATTTGTGCATTTTTTGGGCCGTGGCGGAAAAAAATGTTGGAGGAGTTTCCTAGAATCTGCCTTTTAAGTTCGGTAACTGTGGGGGCGGGAGTGGGTACGGTCCAAACATTTTTTTTATGGCTTTGAAAGGTGCTACTAGCAATACACCTTACAAATTTGGTGACTAGCTTTCAAATGAGATGCATGAGATATATGGTTTTATCGATTTACAGAAATATCGCTTTTGGCGATTACGAGGGCAGGTGTGGGCGTGGTCATACAATTTTTTATCGATACTTCATAGATGCTAATCTTTGAAGGACATCCCCAGGAAGCTACCCAATCAAATTTGTTGACTGCAGCCTTCAAATTATGGGAGATATGTGATTTTATCGATTTGCGTTTATCAATTTTATCTTTTGACACTTTGACTCGGGCACCGACGAACACAGTCTGAATACCTTCTTTGGTATTATAGTATAAAATTGAAATTGAATCACTCGCTAATCTTGAAACTCTTCACAAATTACAGGCTAACAATAAAATGCAGGAGCTGCATACACAGCTGGAGCGATTGGGACGCGAGCAACTGCAGCTGGAGACGCGCATCGTGGAGCTGCTGCCATACCAAAGCGAGGTGACCAAATTGAAGGGCGATCTGCTCAAGATGCAGGTAACAACTAAATCAAGCTCGGCACCAACCCAATCCAATCCAAGACAGACGGCGAGTCGTCGTCGTCGTCGTCGTCATCGTTGTTGTTATTCCATCGAATTAACCGCAAAATCAACTGTCAACTATTGTTGAACAATTGTCTTTTTTATATTTGTTATTGTTATTATAATTATTGTTCTTATTGTTGGTGTTGTTGTTGCTATTGCTGGTATTGGAACTGGGGGCGTTGCGCTTCGTTACTTTAACCAATATTTATTGATATTCAATATGTTTCTATATGCTATATACTATGCTATAAGATAGCGCTCCTTTAATTGAGAAAATTGTCGCTCAGCGGCCGCCTCAAAACAGTCACTGCTAAAAGTATGCCAACACAGTAAATTAAAAAAAAAAAAACAGAAAATTGCACTTCACTGAAAGAGGAACCACAAAATAAATGAGAAAAATTTCAATATTAATGAAATAACTTGCGGATTATTGTTGAATGTGCATCGGGTTTTTTATTGTTATTGTTATTGTTATTGTTGGATTTGCATTGTTTGTTTGGTTATTTAGTGTTTCTTTTTTCTGTGTTTTTATTGTTTTTTTTTTTACACAAGAAAGTGTTTTGTATATTTTTGTTTATGTAGTTTTTGTTTTCTTTAATTTTGTTTTATTTTATTTATTTAATTTTTTTTAAGTAGTTTCTGTTTAGTTTTATTTTATTCTATTTTTGGGGAAATTGAGTTCATATACGATTTGCACTTGATGTTGCACCTTGCGTCACCAACAACAACGCAAAAACAACCACAACAACAACAGCAATAGCGACAACAAAAATAACAATGAGAAATTAGAAGCAACATATAAACAATAAACAACAAACAGACTCACCTGCCTCTCTCTCTCTCACTGTCATTCTTAGAATCAACAGGAGAAAACACAAATGGAAATTGGCAATTTGAAATATGAAAATGAATCTTTGCGCAATCGTTTGCGGGACGTTGTCAATTCGCCATTGTCGGACGCGGAGAAGCATCAGATTATACAAGATTCACAGCGCTTGCATAGCTCAGCGCCCGCCTCCATAGCATTGCCCAATGTAAGTCTTAATACTAACCGATATATAAAATTAAATATGTATATATCAATATATATTTATAGATAAACGAATCGGCGCATGATGGTACGCCATGTCTTACGCCGGACTGGGACAAGCAGTCGTCGTCAAGTGAAATTTCAGTAGCTTGCCTGCAAGATAAGATCATACAAATGGAGGAGACGCACTACTCGACAAATGAGGAACTGCAGGCGACACTCCAAGAGCTGGCCGATCTGCAGACCCAGCTGAGTGACACCCAAACGGAGAACGAACGCCTCTCCGAGGAGAAGGATGTGCTCTTTCAGTCGCTGTGCCGCCAAACCGAGAAGCTCAACGAGTCGCGTACACAGATCAGCACATTGCAGGAGCTGTTGCTGCGTGACACCAAGCAACCGGCGGCGGCAGCCGCCGAGGTCATCACCACGGAGCGTGAGAAGAAGCTGCTCGATTTGATACAGACATCGCAAGAGGAACGGGAAGTGTTCATGCTCAAGCAGGAGGAGCTTAACGCTGAACTGGCTGAATTGCGGCAATCGCGCGATGCGGTCCAACTGGAGCAGCAGCGTCAGCGTGAACGGAACGCACTACTCGACTCCCAGCTGGATGCGGCCAATGCGGAGCGCAAGCAAATCGATGCCCAACTCGCTGTGGCCAAAGAGGAGATCTCACAGCGGGCCATTGAGATCAGTAGGCTGAGCACACTGCTGGAGAATGCACGCTCCAAAATTGAGGAGCTCGAGGCCGATTTGGCGCGCGGTGATAAGACCGATCTGAGCGATGTGCTCGACGCGTCGCGACGCGAAAAGGATGCGCTCGAGGAGCGACTGGCCGAGCTGCAGGACCAATGGTCGCGCAGCCAGGCCGAGTTGCGGCGTCTGCGCGAACAAGTCGCCGGCCTGAGCGAGGAATGCAAGGTGGCCAAAAACAATGCGAAATGCGCCGTCTCCCATCTCGAGTATCGGCTGGAGCAGCTGCAATGCGACAAAGACAAATTGGCCGGCGATTGCCAGACGCTGGAGGAGCGTGTCGCCGAGCTGCAGGTGCAGTGCAAATGTCATCAAGAGGACAAGGCTCAGCTACAACAGTTGCTCAGCGAGACGCAGCGACATTTGAGCGATGTGCAGCTGCAGCTAAGCGATAGCGAATCCCGCCTGGACACAGAGACACAGCGACGGCAACGGGACGCCGACGAGTGGCAACAGTTTCAGGCGGATCTGCTGATGACGGTGCGTGTGGCCAACGATTTCAAGACTGAGGCGCTCAGCGCACGCGAGCAGCTCGTGCTCGATAACAAATTACAAAAGGACAAGATTCGGCTGCTCGAACAGCAGCTGGACAAGTTAACCAAGCAGCGTAAGCTAATACATCACATCAGAGAGCGAGGATATCACCGATAATCGTTAATTGTTAATCACTCTTCATGTAACCATCCACAGAATTGCAGCAGACGGAGACGCAGCAATCGGTGCTATCCACTGTGCAGCAGGAAATATGCTCGAGGCGCAGCAAGCTCAGCTTTAGTCGCCAGGATTCGCGGCTCTCCGTCAAAACGCTCATCGAGAGCATTGAGAACAACAAGCCGGTAAGCGAAGAAGAACAAGAAAGACCCAGACCGTTGTGTGTACCCTGAACAGGTTGTGAAAAACGGAGGCAGCTATCGATAAAATGGAGCAAACTTCATCTGCGCGGGGTATACGAGAACTTCTATTCCAAATTTAAAGTCTCTCACTCCTTTAGTCTGGCTGTTGATCCTTATCAAAAATATATATATAACTAATGTCCTTGCTACACATTTTCAATGGGTTCAGGGTATAAAAATACACACTTCTTGAGTTGCTGCATTTCAATTATTCACTCTTTATAATCCTAACACGCGCTTCGAATAGCAGGGCAAATCGGATGAGACCGAATCGCATTACAGTTCCACGTCCAGCTTGAACAGCGGCACACCCGAAACGGGCAATACGCCAATTATATTGCCCGTATCCGGTGACTGGCATGAGAGCGTAAGTTTCAACAATATATGTAGATAATATTTATTCATAAGCACAAATATTTCTTTTTTTAACAGCTACGTTTGCCCGTGCTGCAGAGCAGCAATCTTCATGTGAACGTTAACAATGCAACAGCAGCAGCAGCATCAACAACTATAACAACATCCGCAACAACATCAACAGCAGCTAACACTACCAAAGCAATACAACAACAGCAGCAGCAACATCAGCAACTGCAGCTGCAGCAACAATTGTCGCAACAGTCAACGACAAGTGCAACATCAACGCCGCCCTCCACACCAAACACGCCCAGCAGCTTGCAACAGCAGCAACCCAGCCTATCAACGCCGTCGACACAGACGCCCAACAGCAGCGCCCTGGTGACCAGTCTCAGTTTTGGCAACGTCTCAAAATCCTACAGCGGTAATTGAAATACATCCCCATACATCTATATATATATATATATATATATATATATATATATATAATATATAATACGGTGTTCAATTTGTTTAGGTGAACGCAAAGATCCGCTCAATATGCTGGCCAAGAATGGTGGCTCCAAGCGTAATGCGCTGCTCAAGTGGTGCCAAAATAAGACAGTTGGCTATCGCAACATTGACATCACGAACTTTAGCTCGTCGTGGAACGATGGGCTGGCCTTCTGTGCCATTTTACATTCCTATCTGCCGGATTGCATACCATACGACACCCTCAGTCCGGCCAACAAGTGGCGAAATTTTTCACTCGCCTTTGCAGCTGCCGAATCCGTTGGTATTAATACCACCCTGGTGAGTTGTGGAGTTGATAGCTCAGTTAAGCCTTTATTATTATTTATTTTATTCAAATCTTACATCTTTTGCAAACCAAAATCAATAGAGAAATGAAAGTTTTACTTATTTTATGCAACTCCTCTTATAATACCCCCTTTAATTATTGATATCGTCTATTTGGATGGCAGAACATCAATGATATGTGTCAAATTGAGAGACCCGATTGGACGCAGGTGATGTCCTACGTAACCGCTATCTACAAGTACTTTGAGACGTAAATCGCATCGCATCGCATCGTATCGCACATTGGAGAACTGAATCCTGAATCTGGAGCGGATATGCTGCGCAACACCTTTTGTATATGTATTATCTCTTCCGCCCTATAAGCAATCCCCCCCCCCCCCCCCCCCACACCCCATCAAATCCACATACAATTGAATGTTTCGGTGGCGAACTGTATTTATTACCAAATTAATATTAACACATGCGGCGCCCAGCAATAATTTGGCACAAGTCTTAGCCTAAACAAAGAAAAAACAAGTTTGCTTTTTATTTTATTTATTTTTGTTTTTTTTTTGTGCAACTACTCATAAATATTAGTTATAGTGTGTATTGTCAGGTTTTTAGAGTTGAGGCAGATTTCAAAAATGTTTGTCAAATTTAAACGCTGATTTCAGAGTTTATTTTATATAATTATAAATATACGTATAAATTTATATATATATATACATGAATGTTGGGCAACTGGGGAAACCGAGTGACCGATTAGCTATAGCATATTTATTATAAAACAAAAAATCCACAAAAAACATGATTATCATTACTTTTAACTTTACGAACAACAAAATGTAATTTTTATATTCAATTCAAAAAAAAATACCATAAGCAAAATAAATGGAAACTTAAAAACTACATAATTTTTTTAATTCAACTAAAATTCAAATGAGACAACGTTAACATAACTATGCTCATTCAACGAAATTGCTCACACAACGAAATGCACAGTTAACAACGAAATGTTATTAAAAGCGTGAAATTTGGTGGAGTCAGTATGTTAAATGTGGAGTAGCAATAGTTCTGTTTTGATATCGATAGGTCGTGTATCGATAGTTTGCTGCAATTATAGTAAGAATATACAAATTCATAAATAAATTGTTAAACAAGGCAATGTCCGGGACTAACAACAATCAGTAACGACCAAAGAGTGTCTTGCAATGGAAGCGACAGAAGACCAGCTAATACTGGCCACCGGTGGCTATGACCACACAATTAAAGTGTGGCAGACGAGCACCGGCAACTGCATCAAAACCATGCGCTTTGTGGAGACATCGGTGAGTCTTTTATCAGAGAGAACAAACTTTTCAATTTTTTTGTATATATATGTATATATATATATAAATATGAATATTTTATAAATGCATAGCAAGTGAATGCGCTGGACCGTACACCGGATAAGACGCGACTGGCTGCATGCGGTTATCAGTGCATAAGATTGTACGATTTGGACTCGAACTGCACGGCGCCGGTGATAAATTTTGATGCTGTGCAAAAGAATGTGACGCGTCTGGGCTTCCAGGAGGATGGCAAATGGATGTTTACTGCCGGTGAGGATCATCGTGTGCGCATCTGGGACATGATCTCGGCACCGCCCCATTGTTCGCGCGTTTTCGATTGTCAGGCGCCGGTGAATGCCGCATGCCTGCATCCGAATCAAGTGGAGATTGCGATGGGCTCCCAAAATGGTGGCGTCTATCTGTGGGATGTTAAGTCCGAACTGCACGAACAGCTTGTACCCGAACTGGAAGCCTCGATTCAGGATGTGGCCATCTCACCAGATGGCCATTACATGGCCGCCGCCAACAACAAGGGCAATTGTTACATTTGGGAGCTGAGCATCAGTCCCGGCCAGATGTTGAGCACGATCAATCCGAAGAAGATGATCCAGGCACACAATCGCTCTATATTGCGCTGTAAATTTAGTCCCGATTCGCGTCTACTGGTGACCACATCGGGCAATGGCAGCGCCTGCATTTGGAAGACGGGCGACTTTAGCAAGTGGCGCGAGCTGACCATTAAAAACTATTGGATTTGGGACGCTGCATTCAGTGCCGATTCCAAATTGCTATTCACAGCCTCATCGGATGGCGTTGCACGCCTCTGGAAGCTGGAGACGAAAACCTGCGAACGCGAGTATACGGGCCACTCCAAGGCAATTACGGCACTGTCCTTCAATGACGAGACTTTTGACTAACACAGGCTTATACATAGCCTTAGCATCATTAGTCTTAGCTCTACACATATAGATAAATGGAGTCCATCCCGATGTGCATTATCCAACTGGAGAAAAGATATTCTTTTCTTTTTCTTTACCAATTTATGAGAAGTCGGATCACAAAAAAAAAAAAATTCATTTTTTTTTTGTATAATATATTGCTAATGTATATACATATGTATATATATATAAATATATATATATATATATATATATATAGTAGTACATGAGGGAATGCAATTTAATAAAACCTTATAGGCATACAATAAACGATAAGTACATAAAAATACATAATAATAGCTGATTTGGGTGGAGCTCAATACTCGAATACGAAGAAAGAAAGAGACAGAGAAATCAATAATGACTACAGATAGTTCTCCGACTTGGACACATTTAATTGACATCTATGGCACATAGGCAATGCCTTTTGCCACAATTGACTCCTTGATGGGATCTGGATCATCGCCCAGTCTGTAGCCCACAATGCAGGTGATATCCACGGGATTGCCAGTGGGATTCAGTAGCAGCATCACCTGATTAATTGGCGATGCGGGCCGAAATGGTTTGAGGGGCGCCATTGCGTTATCCGTCGGTGGCAAGAGGCGCACCTTGCAGGGCTACACGCATATAACGATATGATGAATATGGTCAGTTACAATTGCAGTTGGAATTGAAATCAGAGTTGTTTCACTTGCCTTTTTCACGCTCGCCTCAAACTGGAAGTCTTTGACTGGCTGGCGGCTTTTGTTATGTGCCGATATCACAATAACGGACACATGACGACTGGGCCGATCCTTAGTAAAGTTGAGGCACAAATGCATATCATCATCGTCCAGCACAACACGCTCCTCCCCCGTCGCTTGAATATTATCCAGCTCAATATTTATCTCGCTCAGATGTTTCGTTTCTAATGCTGTTGATGCTGGTGCTGCAAGAGCCATCGCCACAGACACCTCCTTCTCTTCCTCCTGCTGCGCCTGCTGCTGCTCCTTCTCTGTGGGAGGTTGTGCTGCTGGCAGACCAGAGCTCAGCAGTGGAACATCATCTTCAGCAGGCTTGACGTGCATGCGCTCGCGCGCCATATCATTGAGTGTTATCTTCTCAGGATCTCGCTTAAAGCTGCTCATCCGCTCCTGTGTGGGAAGTACCTGCTGAAACAGCTCCTCACTCAGCATATCAATTTCAGGCATTTTGCGTACACTGCCCGATTTCCTCGTATCCATTGCAATGGCATCGCTGTTACTATCGCTCCTCTTGGGACTGAGCACCTGTGGCTCGAGCAGTTCACCGCTGCCGGCATGCTGAAAGTGCTCCGAGCTTTGCTGCTGCTTGTCCTCAATCTCGGCCAGAGCGCTGCTAAAGATGTCGCTGAGCTCCGCCAATGCATTGGGCTTTTTGTTAGTATTATTATTATTATTGTTATTAGTATTATTATTATTAGTGGTTGCATTCGTTGCTGGAACAGTGGCAGCTGCAGCTGGTGCATCTTCGCCAAGCAACAGATCGCCAAGCAGCTCATTCAGCAGCGTTTCATTGCTGGAGCCAGCTACTTTAGCTGGCATTGCTGCAGCTGTTGTTATTGTTCCTGCTGCTGCTGGCGGAGCAGCTGGCGAAGCTGGTGTGGTGCTCCTAATGGGCGAGGGCACCAGTTGTTTGTAGCGCGTCATTATCGCCACCAGATCGCCATTTGTCTCCAGCGTGTCCTCTATGAAATTACACAATTGCACAATTAATGAGCAGCAATAATTATGCATATTATATATTTATGTAAGTAGCTGGCCTAAGAGTATAATTGAATACTAACCTATTAGCTGAGCATCGGACTCGCCCAGCAGCTCGGGCAGATGCTGAAAGATGGGCTTGTGTTTCTTGCAGCTCTTGTAGAGATCGTGTATGGTTTCGTTGACATCGCTGGGATTGCCGGGATTGTATGTGTCCAGCATTTGATTGAGCAGCTTTATTGTCTCCTTCACCTCAAGCAGGACGAGACGATGCTGGGCGAGCAGATCGTTGCGTCGAGCCTCCTGCGCCATCCGATACTGCAACAGTAGATTGGCTCGCTTAAAATTCTCCGGATCTTTGCTGCGTATCAACTTGGCAAACATTGCCTCATCAATGGTGCTCAGCACACTCTCGCGCTTGGCTAATGCAGCGGCAGTTTGGCCATGATCAATGTCGCCCTCCTTGCGCAGCATCTCGTACGCGTCCCGTATCTTGAGACGCTGCGGAAACTCGGTGGTCCACAGCAGAAGGCATTCCATGATGCGTTGCTTCACCACCAGCGGCGTTTCGGCGCCTTGATATTTCTTCGACACCAGACGGATCAGTTCGTTGAGAAAGCGAAACTTGCCAGCCTCATCCTGGAAATCATTGCCGCACTGTGTCATGCACTCCTCCAGCAGCTGCCAATTGCAATTTTTAACGATTCCCACAACAAAGAAATGAAATTGAAGACATATAACGATAACACTAATGCCATAATCAAATGAGTCTAAGTGTGTGTGTGTGTGTGCGTGAGTGTGGGTGTGTGTGTGTGTACGCACTTACCGCAATTGCTCGATGGGCTTCGGTTACATTGGTCGACCGCACTTTGGCCACAATCATTTCCTGCGCCTTGTGCACCAGTTGGCTATTGCTGCGGACCACAATGCAAAACATTTGCACGCCCAGTTCATCGACTTGCTCTTTTGACGGGTTCGTTGCACGATCTGCGCAAAAAACCGTAAAGCCGTCAACAATAATGGCAAAGAAACGGGGCGCAGTTTACAAAATATAAAATAACGCAAGCATTCGTTGGTAGACTTACCCAGCATTTCGGTCATAATACTCTCGTCGGTTGTCATTATTTACATTAAATGCTGTTCAATGGCTTTACTTGCAAATAACAGTCTCAAATTCAAGGAACGTACGTTCTCCGGTGAATTTAAACAACAATCATATTGTTGTTGTTGCTTTAATTATTCTTAGAGCTGTGCATTTAGCATTCTGCAGACTATCGATATCAAACTTACATGGTTGCATTGTGGGCTACGTCAAAATCTAATAATTTGCTTCAAATAACAGAGGCCAACTAAAACATGATTGAACATATTCAGCAGCTGTAGGCGCCATCTATCGTGCGCTAGGATTAGCTACATTTAACAGCGTCTGCCGGTGTTACGCCGAACATTGAGTGTTATCGATAGCAAACAATAGCACAACATATCTAAGATATCTAATTAATATTCCATAAGTTAAACATAAGATCGTAAGCTAAATCGCTTGAGCACTTAGTGATACGATTTAATCCTATGCTTAACCTAAATAAAGTGCAAGCTATTATTTGTTAATTAAATATCTGCTCATTTTTACGATGTTAAGACTACTTAAACTGTTGCATAAAGATTGATTTATATTTGTCTATTCATTTATATAAGGCGGAGACTTTAGATAAGATTATATCATTTCGTTAAGATTACTTTCTCTGAAATTTTCAATTGCTCTACAACCATTTTCTCGTTGACCCTAAAATTATGTTGCAAAATTTTTGTTTGCATATCATGTCTTATAGTTTGCGAAAGGATTCATACTTTTCAGCTAACAGATGCTAAAATATGATGACATGTCACCATTTATATTTTAGAGAACTGTGTTATTCGATTTTTCAAAAAACATTAACTAACAATAGAATCAATCGACAAAAAATGAGTCACATCCAAGCATTACATTATATACAGTTTTTATTGTTACTGTGATTATTAATATTACTTATAACATTTATTATGTTTATAACGGCATGATAACAATTTAAAAATGTATCAAGCAGTTGTGCTTCTTATAATTTCAAATTGTTATATTTAATTTTCCAATACACAAATTTCAATATTGAATATTCGATTCAGATTTCATTGCAGGCCTGTAGCTCAAACGCAACCCTGCGCTCTGGCCGGAAATCAATTTTTGTGGTATTGACGCACACTGCCGCAACATGTTCTTTTTCAGGCGTACGCCTTTGCGCATACATCGTACACCGATTTCTTCTGTGAAAAATGTAAGATTTTTTTGTCAAAATGAAAGTGTATAAACATAAAAGCATACGCAAATGCATCTAAAGTTTGGTGGCCATCGGCTGCAATTGAAAGCCACGTGAAATGCATTGCGCTACTCTCAAAAACTCGTTGTTTTCTTTTCGCCACGCACAATGAGGTTAAATACGGTGCTCGTTTCATATATATTTTTTGAATTTTTTTTTGTTGCATTTAAATGCACGCGATTTTAAGTGATTACTGATTACTTCAACAAAGTACAACAATTACGTCCATAACTAAATCCGCAGCAGTGACACATACGTTGTTGTGGTATTCAATTGGACTACATCAAAGCCCATGATTTACTATTCCTCTTAAGGGCATTGGATAAAATATGCACACCTTAATAAAGTCAAAAATCAACAAAACAACAACAACAATCATAAATATGAATAGTATGTAAGTAAAATGAACATGTATCTGAATTGGCTTTGCTTCTTTAATATTGCAGCATGGCCGAAGTAGCTGAAACAGTAGCTGTTGAGACATTCGAGGAGCCGGTGCCAGTGGAAGCGGATGCTGCCGAAGCTGTGGTCGATACAAATGTGGTCGCCACCACTGAGCTGCCCGAGATTAAGCTGTTCGGTCGCTGGTCTTGCGATGATGTGACCGTCAACGATATATCGTTGCAGGATTACATTTCAGTTAAGGAGAAGTTTGCACGCTATCTGCCCCATTCGGCTGGTCGCTATGCCGCCAAGCGTTTCCGCAAGGCCCAGTGCCCGATTGTGGAGCGTCTGACCTGCTCCCTGATGATGAAGGGTCGCAACAATGGCAAGAAACTGATGGCCTGTCGCATCGTCAAGCACTCCTTCGAGATCATCCACTTGCTAACGGGCGAGAATCCACTGCAGGTAGGCGCACTATCCATCCATCATACTATATCGTGCCATGCTAAACTGCGCCATTGCCTAAAATAAACCAAAGCTGGCGACAGGTAGAATGTGCACGCAGAGCAAATTTGGTTTCAATATCCTAGTGTTTGAAGCGACACTCCTCTTCCTACTCTCTTGGAACTTGAAACGACAATTGCACATTAATCATAATTAATAATGGAACACAATCGTAGTTCTAGTCTACCTCAATGCCAGGCGGCGACTCTGTTCACAGGCTGCGCTGAGCATAATTCAAAAATAGACTGATAGTAAATGAAGTTTTAATATCCTAGTGCTCAAAGATCACACAACCTCTTTCCGCTCTCTTGGAACTTAAAACCACAAAAGTATTCAATAGTTTATACCGATGTACACAAACAAACATATATAAAACTATATCAATTTTGAAATTCAAGCCAAGTCCACCTCAATGCCGGTCAGCAAATATTTCATGCTGAGCTGAGCATATCAAATAACAATGGACTTATATTAAATGAGGTTTTAATATCCTAGTGCCTGAAGATCACATTCTCTTCTTGCTCTCTTGGAACTTAAAACTACATTATCCAGCCATGATCTGTATAGAAACTTCGAAGTATGTCCAAAACTAAAACCGCATCAGTGATTCACACGCTGATGTGGTATTCAATTGGACTACATCAAAGCCCATGATTTACTATTCCTCTTAAGGGCATTGGCTAAAAGATGCGAACCTTAATAAAGTCAAAATCAACAGTTATCAATAACAGTATACATATAGGAAATTGAAGGTCTTCTTTCTAATATTCATAGTAGTCCACCTCAATGCCAGACATCTATAAATTCAGGCTGTGCTGAGCATCTATCTAAAATGGACTAATATAAAATGGAGTTTTAATATCCTAGTGCCTGAAGATATCACTCTCTTCTTGCTCTCTTGGAACTTAAAACTACAACTAATTTAAATATACCTGCTGAGCACGTTTTGTGCAGTTTTGTATTTTGTATCTTATTGATATTTATTTGGATTTTTCTTGTAGATCTTGGTGAGCGCAATCATCAACTCGGGACCACGTGAGGACTCCACACGTATTGGTCGTGCCGGCACTGTTCGTCGCCAGGCTGTGGATGTGTCGCCCTTGCGTCGCGTCAACCAGGTGGGTGTTGCATACATACTGGTGTCCTGGTGTCCTGGTGTCCAATTGGCCAGCAACGATGGTGCGCAGTTCGAGCAGCGACTGTGTTCTTATAACGCTTGGCTATAATAAACATCTATCCTATCCGTAGCGTCACAATGTGTAATTGGCCGACATTTGGCGTATGAACTGAAGAAACATTTCATTTATTAATTCCAAATAATGCATCATAATTAATTCATCACTTTTAACTTTTGCTCTTTGCAGGCTATCTGGCTGTTGTGCACGGGTGCCCGCGAGGCTGCATTCAGGAATATCAAGACCATTGCCGAGTGTCTGGCCGATGAGCTCATCAACGCCGCCAAGGTAAGCTATAATCCTTCATCTATGAGCCCATCTCTTCTTGGTTTTTTGTTTTAATAAATGTTATGTTAAAATTATGTCCAGTCTAATTCTGCATCATGTCACTGGGATATTGATGCAGACTCGCTTTTGGACAATAACAAAGTCTTTTATTATCCTTGTGCTTGTGGCAACATTATCAGCTCAATGCACACGAGAAACGTAGAAGAACAACTCATTTAATATTTTAAGACTTTGACATTAGGGAAGTGGTCCAGTCTAATTCTGCATCATGTCACTGGGATATTGATGCAGACTCGCTTTTGGACAATAACAAAGTCTTTTATTATCCTTGTGCTTGTGGCAGCACTCTCAGCTCAATGCACACGAGAAACGTAGAAGAACAAATCTTATATATATATCTATTTAATATGATAATACTATTGTTTTTAATGATTTAATCGTAACTCGTGTATTCATTTTGATATATTTACATTTGCAGGGTTCATCCAACTCGTACGCCATCAAGAAGAAAGACGAATTGGAGCGTGTTGCCAAGTCTAACCGTTAAGAAGAAACTACAACACACAATATACAAATAAAACAAATACAGTTTGTTTAATGTCCGATTAAAACTTGATACCTTACGTTTGGTGTAAATTTGTATGTAGCAAAGCGTTTTGTTCAATTTTAAGCGTCCATTAAGTGAACACGTGGGGTGGCCAGGAGCTAAAGATATGTACTACACATGAAATGTTCAACAAATAAATCTGTGTAAACAAAACAAACAAAAAATAATAATATAGGACATGATGCTTCTTTTTTTTAATAGCTGTAGAGTTTATCACTAAATAAAATTGTATAATTTTTGTACGATCAACACACACACACGCTTTGCGCTAGAGCGAAAGCGTTTTTTTGAATCTGATTGTGCGCATGCAAAGTGCGCTTAAGTTTCGATAACGATTGCCATTGCCTCCGATAGCTGATGGCCTGATCTACAATACAGTTAGGTGGCAACGCTGGCTGATGCGACAATGCTGCCACACTTCATTTGAATTGTGCAAAAACAGATCGATTTGAATTTGCACACGTCTTTCATCGCTTTACATTTGTTTAAGCCTAATTGCTGCAAAATATGTTCAATGTGAATACAGTTCTGCAAACGCAATCGCTTGGCACAAGCTTAAGTGAGAGCAATTCAAACGACGACCATTCGCATCAGCGCCACAGCCAGTGAGTATTGCAAAACGAATTAAATTTTGCACACACATAATGTAGATTCCACGAGCAGAAGCTAGTCGACGAGTTTTGCCGAAAAACACAGTTGAGACAAATAATCGAACAGGCCGTTGATAGCCTGCTGCACAACTACAGGCGCACACGTAAGCCGGAGGAGGCGCTGGCGCCACTGCTGCTGCGCTTGGACTTTAACTACACGGAGCTGGCGAAGCACGCAACGCAATTGCTTCATTTGGCCATCGAGGAACCGCTGCAATTTGCCGAAGCGGTCAAATATTCCGTTTACGGGCAGGTGCGTAATTTGCTTAAGGCGGCCCAGGACAACAACGGACTCAAAACGATCGACATCGCTCAGCTGCATATACAGTGGCGTCTGCTCGATTTGCCGCTACAAACGAATCTTCTCTTCAATCCCACACATCATCAGTACCCCCTCGGCCTGGCATTGGTTAGTGGCATCCTGTCGGCATATACGCTGCCGGAGACATTAGTGTGAGTCGCGATGTGGTCGAGTTTCCCCTGCCACAATGCTATCTAAGCCGTTAAATATATATATTCTTGATCGATTTGAAGCGATTTCAATGCGACTTTGCCGTCAACTCGAAGATAATTGACTTTTGAATTTTGTATTTAAATGCTGTATACCTTTGACAGACTGCAATCAATTTGGTATTGTGGCAGCGGTTGCATGCGGAATGCAATCCAGACCAGCTCCACGGATGGTATGTCTCCTCACATACCTACTACACTCTTACTAACAACTAATACACCTAATAACATACATACTTCGTATATATTTGAAATCCTTGAATCGTAAAACAGATCCAAGTAGTCGTTCATTTAACAATCGTTATTCGTTTTTGTCGTATATTTAGTGTTATTATGTGTCTCGCAACGAATTCTACAAATTTGGATTTGCACTAATATATTTTTTTCATTTCGTTTTTTCATTTTTCACTCGATGCAATTGTGCAGCTCCACTGTGTCCCAACTGCTCGCGTCCCATGAGTGAATACCAAAAGCTACGCGTTATCGAAAATTATTGTATAATTAGCATATTGCCAGGCGACTGTGTGCTGACTCCGCGAACTGTAGATTGCATCTATCGGCCGATTCTAGTGCGTTTACGTGGTGAGTCCATATCTTATCTATCAACAGCAACGTATCCACATTATAACTATACTCTCTGTATGCCAGCACATACATACGATTGCAATTTGAAATTGGGCGCCAACTATCTGATCACTGGCTATTACTGTGGCACAGCGAACGCTTATCAATTTGAGGCATGCCATCTAAAAAGTATGTGAAGGGCGGCGGCAGCCATCGTCGTGCGCCCGTTCAGCTAACTGACTTTTTGCGTTCCGACTTCGAGCTGCCGGCATCATCAGTGCAGCCATTAAGGATCGATTCACTCTCGTGAGTGACGAATAAGCATTATACGTATAATAATTTAATCTGAACTCAACTTTTAGATCAAACATCAGCCCAGTGTTGAGTGCCACCAGCAGTCTAACCACAACCGCTGGGCCCAAAAGCATCTGGGGTGATGCTGCCAACAAATCAAATTTATTTAAGAATCAAGTATCATGTACCAACGATGAAGAGTTTCCCACTGTGGGCACCATACGCAGAAAGAAACCAAAGGACACTAGAGCTGGACAACCAGCTATACCGACATCAGCAGCCGCAGCAGCAGCACCATCAGCCGCAGCAGCAGCACCATCAACCGCAGCAGGAGGAGGAGCAGCACAGGGCAGTGGCCGGGCTCTGTTGTCCACAGGCAATTGCGTTGACAAACAAGCAGTGATAACCAAATGGCTCAACTTAGTGCAGCAGCCGATAGTTCAGACACAGCTGCTGGAAACGCCAATGCTTCAATCGGTGACGAGCATGAGTGCGCCCGCTGCTATTGCACCACAGCAGCAGCAGCAGCTATCTCAACAGTCACAAGGGCACAACAAGCCAGAACAACAGCAGACGACGACAAGTGCACCATCTGGCCAAGGCGTGGCCGTATCCATACCCACTAGTCACATCTGCACAAAGGCAGACGTTGCGCTTGGCAATGAGGAGAATCAGCAATTGCAGCGCATTGATTTCAATTCAAACGCGAATCGATCAGAGGCCGCCAATATTGAACAATCTTCGATTTGGCATGAACCGAATTCGATTCGGAAATGGCGACGCAATAAGCGACGCTTGCAAGCCGATCAAATGCCGCAGATGAATGGACCCCAAGATTATCCGGTTCAGCAGCAGATGCCGCCGCATGTGCCGGATGTGTGGTCTGCTGGGTCCACTGGCCGTAGTGACAATTGCAATCCTCTGCAGCAGTCCAACAATCCTCCTTTGTCGTCATCGCAATTCCAATCTCAATCACAATCCCAATCTCAGCTGTTCGACATCACATCATGCAGCACATTGAATTGCAATGCCAACGAATTTTATCCCAATCAATGTCCAAATGAGCGCAGGCAAATGATTAGCGTAAGTCCATAATCAATATTGGCCAACTAGTGTTGGCGCTTCAGCGAGAACGTTTGTTAAATCTTCGCTAGCTTAACTGTTTTTTATACTTTGATAACGAAATGCAACGTTTTCTCTTGATTTTTTATTGCACCCCACAGGATCGTCGCCGTCGCCAGCGTTTCTTTCGCACACTCAAGCCAAATACGGTCTTTAAGCTGATTGCGCTGCCACCCGATGAGCTCCAGATGTCACAACCAACCTCCACAAACTGGGAACCGCATCCCACCTACAACATATCGCCAAACAACAACAGCATCAATAATAGCCAGTCGGTTTTTCGGCTTTCCAGCTTCCGCAGTGGTATTGGAACGCACAGCGAGGACCAGTCCACCATATGTGACCCCTTTGATAGCTCAATCAGCCGACCATTATTGAATATGGACACGCAAGAGTTGCAATCGGATACGTCCATGTTCTTCGAGCCTGACAGAAACACAAAAACCACAAGCACCGCAGACGTGAACGTGCATTTGGATGATGTGGATCACGAGGAAGCAATCAAGTCGGACAACAAGAGTGTTCCGGCTTTGCCACGCCATATGATTTTTGTAGCTGCCGACAGTCGGCAGGGTGACAGGCAGAGTGTCACCGTCGATATGAACTTTATGCCACCCAGCATTAAGCAGCTGTATCATCTGATCTGCTCCAAGTATTCGGACTATGCGTTCGTCTATACGCTGAGTGCCCAGCTTAGCCAGCTGTGTGTGCCCATGGAGTGTTATGTATACCTGAAGATGGCACTCTTGAGCAGTCTCGCTAGCATCGAACAGGATGAACTGCGACCACCGATATCGCTGTGCGTCATTTGCAGTGACAGCAGTGTGGCCCACCAGCTGCTGGACAGCGTTGGTCAGCTGGCTCCACGTTTCATTGGCCCCCATGAGGGTGGACAGCAATCGGCATTTACGGCACTGCCCACACGTAACAATTGGGTGGTGGCCAGCCCCATACTGCTGGCACAGCAGGGCGTTTACTATGTGGGCGATTGGAATCGCTTGACGCGCGACCAAAGCGAGGAGATCGAGAAATGCATCGAGAATGGTAGCGTGGCGGTGGTACAGCTACAGAGTCAGCAGCCGCTTGAAGCGGCCATTTGGACATATTGGCAGCCGGAGAATGCGGCCAATCAAACCACAGCCTTTGCCAAGCTTTGCCCGTAAGCGTTTTACTCTAAATATAAAATATACAAATATATTTATGCATTTCTATTTGAATATATAGTATCTTCGGGCTGCCCGTCTACATGGATGAGCATGTGAATGATAGACTCTGGGATTTTGTGCTCCGTTCGCACAGCGCAGACGGGCAAGACACAACTCCGGATTCATTCAACATAAATAACGAGGATATACGATCGATGCTTGGATTGCTCCATCAGCGCCAGGTGTCATTCACGCAGCCCGCACAGCAGCTGCTGCAAAAATATTATGTTGTCTCGCGCATCGAACAGCCCAGTAAGTGAGCAAATCTTTCCTTCTCATTCGAATCCATAAATCTACTATATCTATATCTATCTCTCTCTGTTTATGTTGCAGCTGCATTCAGTAGCAAAACGTACATTGTGCTGAAGCAATTTGCGGAATCGATTGCCAAGCTGTCCATGCGTCTGGAGGTGCTCGAAGCGGATGTGACCGTTGCCATATTCCACTGTGAGCATTTTGTGCGCAGCATCTTTGGGGCTGGCGATTATCCGCCACCAGCTGTTGCCAGTTTTAGTGCCATCTCCAGGATTGATCCCTATATGAATGAGTTTGCCAGGTGGTTATTCCAATATTTGGATCGCTATAAGGACGACATGAACATGAACGATGGCAAATAGCCAAAAAAAAAACCGTCAACAGTAAAGTTTCTAATTAAAGTGCTAAACCTAATTTTTCACTACTATGATATTATTATTATCATAAATGACGCTTAACATTGGGTTATGTCTGTGCATCATTCAAAAACCATTTAGTATAGTTTGAAATTATCTTGGCTTTCGGTTTTCAATTGAGGAATAATCCTGGAAAATCACGAAAATCACGATTTGTGCCTGTAGACAGGAATATAAATTGTTTATGGCATTCCTATAAATATACTTAATCATTATCATTTTAAGCATTTGTTATCAAATTATCTCAGATTTCAGACAATAGTCACGTTTTCCAAAAGCCAATTGGCTAAAGCTTTAAGTTAAGTTTAATAATATTTCCTTTTAGTGAAAAATGTAAGCTAACGAAAATAATTTGAATTTCTTCTGCTAAAATATCACTTTAGAGACGGGTATTCAGCTCAACTCCAGTATTAATTTAAAAACAATTATTTATTTACTATTTGCCGTAGCGACTTACATTTGTTTATTAATTATTATTATTCTTTCATCAGTATTAATTAATAAATGTATTTTGATTATCATTTTCAGTTGCCTGAGCACAAATCATTCAATTAAGTTTGTTTTATGGTAATACAGAGTTGGATAATAAGTTCATAATTGATGTGTTCAACAGTTAACACATGTATCCATAATTTATATATATATATATATATATATATGTTCCCCTCGAACTCTTATAAAAATACACACATATGTATATATATATAATGTATAATAAATTTAAATTCACATCAAAACTTCAGTATAAAATTACATATTCATAGGTCGATTTGGTTATTAGTTATTAATTTGTATGTTGTATATATGTAGTTGATGAAATGGTAGCGTTATTTGCGTTTGGCTGTCTATTATACATATTTCATAATTATGTATTTATATATATATATATATATATATATGTGATATATGTTTGTTTGTACGTATGTATAAAAATGATTCTTATATACCTAGATTATGACAAAATTAAAACCATACAAAATACATTCTTCACTTTGGTCCAGTACTGAAATCTCGGATTTCGTTAGTTGCCAAAAATAAGTAGCTTAGTTTCTTGGTTTTCTGTTTTTCTGTTTTTGTTTTTGCTACGGATACATACAGGATTTATGTAACCTAGCTAGAAACGACTACATTAATAATGAGCTTCCTTACATATCTACAAGTTTACAGTTTAGTTGAGCTAAAAACAAGTTCAGTGTGTGTGTGTGTGTGTGTGTGTGATGGGCATAAAATAATAGTTTGAAATCGATGGTCAATAGTCCAAATTGCCCTGGGCCCCGGTTATAATGGCATCAATCCAAATGCGAGCCGCTGCATCCGAGGCCGCTTGTAAATTATAGCTGCGTTTCTTAGTCTTCACGATGAAGGTGCAATGTGGCCGACCGCTCTTTGAGGCATTCAAATGATCCAGATATACCTCGTCAATGGTCTACATGGAAAGCGTATAAGTTATAATAGTTAGTAACGAGTAGCGTCGTGTCGCATGTGGAATACTTACCGCAAAGTAGGCGCCACCGCGTGGCTTCCGCTCCGACTTATCCGAGTAATAGATGAGAGCACTTCGCTGTCGATCCAGCACAAACCAGCGCCTTGACCACGCATGAAACGTGGCACCCAATTTATGTAGGTAACTGCAAAACGAATATAATTCTATCATTTATATTTATCTTTATATTCTGTCACCAAAGAAGGTATTCAGGGTATATTGCTTTTGTGTGTCCGTCTGTTTAAAAAACGCAACTTTTTCGACAAATCGATAAATCGACATATCTCCCATGACTTTAGAGTTGCACTCAGCAAACATTGAAGGTAACTTGCTGGTTCCCTTAAATATCTTACACAGTTTGACAGCTAGAATCATCAAATTTCAAAAGATATATTTCTTGCAACATCCTTCTAAGAAACTCCGCCCAATCCCGACCCAAAAGTTCATAATTTCTAGGAACTTCCATTAAAGACGGCTATTTCGTGGCTACACGCAGCCTGTTCTGTTCTATTCTGTTCAGATGATATTGGTTATTGGAAGCAGAGTACCTGGCAGTCGGTTGCGCCCAACACTGCAATGTTTCTTATTCTCTTGCTGATTTTGATTTATTTTTTTGTTGTTTGGGGAACTCACCCGCGACAGCTGTGCGCATCGACAAAGACATGCGGACAGAGATCGATCTGATGGCCGGCAGTCTCGATGTGATGCCGCAGATTAAGATCTGGCGAGAAGATGGGCAGGTAGCGTGTCAACGGACGCTGATGCTTTGGCAACGCACGCTTTCGTTCACCATTGGCGCTGGCGGTGCTGCTGCTGCCAGTGCCGGCGCCGCTGCTGCTGCCACCACTACCGCTGCCCGCCGATGCGGTGTCCTGTGAGTTGCTGTTGCAGCTGGCCCGCTTGTTGCTGTTCTCCGTCGCTGATGAGTCGCCGCCATTTGCAAACTTGGGCCCCTCAATGGACGCCTCACAGTTGTTCGCCTCCGAGAGCGGGCGTGGACTGCGCACAATTGCTGCGCCACCACCACCAACACCAGCACCAAGAGCGATTGCATGATGCTCCAGTTCCGGCTGCGAGTGGCGTTGCTGTAAGTCAAACAAATGCCAGACATTGTCATGAGCTTCCATGGGCTTCCAAATTCATTCAATTCATTTAAGTGGGTTAGCGAATTGATCGTAGTCTATAAATATATTTATATATCTCTCAAAATAATATCTATTCTTCTTGTGTGTCGTCAGTCAGTGGCAAAGTGGCACGTTTAACCCCGCAATGGATCACACGGGCTTATCACACTCTGAAAATGCGAGTCAACTTCAAGTTAAAGCCAAACCTTTTACTTGCCAGCTAATGATTAATTTTTGTTTGCTTTTTTGTTTTCGGGTCACTTGAAGTTGGCCAAAATTTTGTTTGGCTGAAACATTTTGAAGGCAGAAGTGATGTTTGAGAGGAGGTTGGAGGAGGAAGGTTATAATTGATAGGGCTGTCTTACAGCAGTACATCTATATAAATCTACACACAAATCTTTTATCTTTGCCTGCTAAGTGTGAACATTTAAACCAAGACTTGTTATGCTTAAATACTCATTAGCATTCACATACTAATCGCTCGCTAAATTTCAATTGAGTAAAATTGAATGAAAAGCTAACTCTTACAGCATTGCGGCAAATTATGTAAGTCGTATGATATATTTACATTGATATATAAATCTTGTGTTCTTTAGCAGTTGAAGTGCTTGCCAACTGTGAATAGTTGCACAAAAACTCATATAAATAAAAATCGCATACGAATTTTAATCACAACTAATTACAGAATTGAGTACACATTCAGATGACTGATACACACACACACACACAAATATATATATATCCTTTTGGGGCAGCACTCACGAGATAATAGAGTTCGGAGCGCTGACGCGCATTCGCATCCATGCGGCGATGCTGCACATAGGTCATCCAGACGGACATGCTGACGTTGATGATCCTTTCTTAATGATGGCACTCTTATCTGTATCTGTGTCTGTCTCAGTATCTGTCTCAGTATCTGTCTCAGTATCTGTATCTCGCTCAACAAACAACTGGATAAGTGTAGCGCGCTACTCGAAATCTCAACTGTTGCGTGCTGCGATTGTAAATGCGGAATATTGACCCAATGCGAATTTGGTGGCTGCCTCTGCCCGGGGGCTATGGCCAACAATAAAGAAACGAGGCGCACACAAACATTATCCAGCAGATAATTGGCGATATTCAGGTAATGGTAATGGGCCTAACGATTTGTGGCTGATACGATACTGTTGAATGCCACTGCCACTGCCGCTGCCACTGCCACTGCCACTGCTACTGCCACTGCTGCCTGATACGGATGATGATGTAAACAAAAAAATTTTCGCACCAAAGTAAACAACAACAGCAATAAAAACAATAAGAACAATGGGAACAATGAGAACAATAACAAGCTGGCTAAGAAGTGCGCAACACGAGCAACGGTGGCAAACTGACGACTATCATCATGATGATCAGCTGCGATCAGCGGCGAGTATAAAGAAAAATATTATTATAAACTTATTAATAAGTGTAGTCCATAGCACGGAACGGAACCGAACTGAACCGAACCGAACGTAACGGATCGCAACGGAACGCAACGCATGGCCAGAGTGAGGGAGAGATTTGCTTTAAAATAAACATTAGCAAAAAAAAAATATATATATATTTATATATATAAATATATATATATATACACATATAAAAGAGCAAAACAAAATGTCGAGGCGCTGTATATAAAACTCGTGACTAACGAGTCAACGATCGTTTGACGGCGGATCTTATGATCAGTCCATGGCATGGATATACCAAGAAATAACCCCGAGAGAGAGAGAGCAAGAGAGAGCAAGAGAAAGCAAGAGAGAGAGCAAGAGAGAGAGTGTGTCACATATCCTTAAATGAATAACAGAGCTGTATATAAAACTGGTGACAATATGATGACGATCAGTCCATGGATATAGCAAGCAATAACAGATAGTGTGGCACACATCCTTAAATAAAAATCACAATTTGCTACAAAACTCGTGACTAACGATATTATGAGAGAACGAGAGAAAGCCACAGAGAGAGAGAGAGAGAGAGAGAGAGTGTGAGTGCATGTCACATACCTAAAATAAATAATACAATTCTATATAAAACTTGAGACTATGATGATGAGGATCATTCTATTACAATCAGTCCATGGATATGCCAAGAAATAACAGAAAAGAGAGACAGAACACAGAGTGAGAGAGAGCGAGAGAGAGAGAGAGAGAGAGAGAGAGAGAGAGAGAGAGAACGAGGGGGTGTGTCACATATCCTTAAATGAGTAAATGAGCTCTTGAGGGTAAGCAGGTGCCGCCAAAACAGAATTGATTGTGGATTGAGAGGCCCCAAACTAAAACTGAAAATAGGCCAACCAAAAAAACCAAGTATATACTATAAAACAGTGACTAAAAAGAGATTAAATGAGTCGTGACAGGCACGTTAAGTTAGGTAAGTAAACTTTTAGACCTACGGTCTACATTCCATTTATCTTTTTGAGCTATTTTTGCGTTAATTCCGCAAAAAGAATAAGAAACAAAGAGTTTCAACTGTGGACGGGCGCCTATTTGCTTCTCTTATCGCCCGTTTTGGACAACCAGTTTCAAACACGTCCAAATAATGCGTAAGCTAATTAAAAAAATAAAATAAATAAAAATAAAATGCATTGCATAAGAATGCTGTTTACTCTGAATATTTATTTTTTTTTATTTTAAGAAAGATAAAATCTGACACAAAACTCCAAAAGAACTATCCAACAACAAGTTGACTTTGTGACCTTTGTGTGTAGTCTTGAAATATTTATCGCCTTTGTGCGCTGGCCGGCCAACTATTTACGAATTTTAATTGCGGAACTTTGAAATCACTTAAGAAAAGCGTTCACGGTTTAATTTTGCCTTATATACGTTATTAATGGCTATAGTCATTTTATGGTCTAACATTAAACATATGACTCGAGAGGTGTTTGGGAAAGGCCGATAGGATAGGGGGCGTGGGAGGTATTGGGTCAAAGTAAACTTGAAGTCACATTTATCAAGTTGCACGCTGGACTTTAATAGGGGGCATGTAAATCTTTCCATTTTATGTCGACTTAAGTATTTTGGCCATTTTCCGTAGTGTTTATTTACAAAGCGAAATTGTTTCGATTGTTTGAAATTACACATGTGCGTGGGGGAGCCCAACAACAACAACCACAACAAAAGTGGAGGCGTCGCCTTGAATAAGCAACAACCACTTTAAAACTATTCCCCTAATTCCTCACTCTCCCCTCCCCATGCGAACCATTAAATGAAGACTTTCGCTTTGGCCTAGGTTCATTTTGGTCTCAGACAATCGACTCACCTGTTGGCAGCCGCTTGTTGTTGTTGTTTTTGATGATGATGTTGCTGCTGCTGCTGTTGTTGTTGTTTTGCCATCAGCTGACGCATTGTTTTCCTTATCGTGCGTCTCTTCTTCTTCTTCTTCGTGCTGTTGTTTTTGTTGAGTTGTTTCATCGTTGAGCTTTCGTAATTCGGTTTTTTCAAACAGTCTGGCATCTTTGCCGCCACTGCAAGGATACAAACAAATAGATAAACAAATACATCTGAGTTGATGATGAGACCAATTACTGATTATGTTTAAGAGTTCATTAATACCAGCATGGAATCAGCGCATTTAGCTTATCCATTACAATGACTAATGCAGTCAGCGGATAAACAATGACTCCGACTCCGACTCCAACTGCGACTTCGACTGCGACTGCGACGGTCAATTGTCAACTGTCAACTAACAGCTGTTGATGCGCCGCTCACCGACAGGCGTTCGCGAATTCGAATTCGAATCCGAATCAGAATGCGGCCAATGTTAAATGGATGTTGCGTTGGGCAATGCACAAATGCCAAATGCCCGTCGTCACTCGGCACAAAACGGCTAAGCAGTGCTCTCACCCACACAACAACACAGAGAGAGAGAGAGCGAGAGAGTGACAGGAGTGTGAGAGAGGCGCAAACACAAAAAGTGATAAGCTTATCAGCAACAGCAGCCGCGTTCGTAATTGCAGCGCGCCTGAATTTCAGGTGACGTTGTCGTCGTCTTCACACTGCCGTTTGACTGACGACTAACTGATCGATCGACACAGAGAGAGAGAGAGAGAGAGTGAGAGAATCCGCATCTGATTCGAATTCGAGTTCGGGTTCGAAATGGCTTATCTTGAATGGAAATGAGTGTCGTTTGTCGTAAATCAAATAAAAATCACAACCTAATCAAAACACACAATATTTGACTGTCTGTTTGTCTTGTTGTCTTGCTGCTGTCGCCGTATGTTTTGTTTATTGGAAAATCAACGACACGTAATTCGAAAACCGGTTTCCTTTTTCGATTTACTCACACACAATCAATCAGCAGCAGCAGCAGCATAGGCAGCTGTCGCTATTGCAGTCGACGTCGTAGTCGACGTTGACGTAAACGTCGCATTGCTTTGCCATTGGCAAAATATTTGATTAAATATAGAGGCGCAACAGGCAACGAGTGTCCACGCCACCCAAATGGCATTTACACACCACAACAAAGTTTTCAACTTCAAATACACAACGCAAATTATTCATAAAATTAATAAAAAATATACTTTCTAAAATAAGTTGTTTTCTTCATTTAGAGTCTAAGCGAAAGTTACAACACAATATATTGAAAATTTACAGCACAACACAATTTTCAATTCCAAATATATAAAACGCGCTCTTTAAAAGTCAGGTTGATAGTGGAAACCACTTGAAAGTTATTCATAAAATGAAAAAAAGGAAAAGTTAATTTACTGTCTAATCTAATGTCAATATTTAATATACAGCGCAACACAGGTTTCAATTCCAAATAAATAAACAAATGCAGTCTTTTGTAGAAAGTGGGCTTGATATGGGAAACCACTTGAAAATTATCCATAAAATTAATAAATAAAAATTTCTACTCAATAATCAAATGTCAATATATAACAACTTGTAGAGACAAACTTTCCTATTTTACAGTCTAAGCTAATGTCAATCTATAGAATTGTTTAATCTAGCTAAACTAGATATAGTTCTTTCATATATATATATTGTCAACAGTTAGATAAACTGCCTGTCAAAGCCAGTTTTTCAACAGTTAATGAAAACAATATCTGTTGACTGGAAAACAAATGAGTTTATTTCAATATATATATATATATATATATATATAAGGCAAGGCTAGTGGGATAAAAATGTGATATAAATATGATAAGATATACGAAATACCCGCAACAACAGTAATAAATCTCTCCAACATTCAACTTTGTTGCACAGTGTAATGGATGGTGCAACACCACAAGTTTCGTCAGCTGCACAATTAATTCGAATCAATGGTCAATGGTCGAGGGTCGTGGGTCAAGCGTGTGGAAAAAGGGGTTTGGCCAAATGTTGAGGCGACACCACCGACTCCCATTTCAGCTGGGCCGTTGATTCAATTAGGGGCACACTTTTGATGGTTGCTTGAGATTGTGGCATACACTCACTTGGCGTTCACTGGGGCATGTAATGGTGGCGGTGGTGGTGGTGGCATCGAGTGTGTCGTTGGTGGCTCTGTGCTGCTGCTCTGCGTTGACAGCAAGTATTGGGTGCGTGCCTCGTCGTGGCACTTCTTCTTCAGATCGTACATCTTTTGGCGCTCATGCTCGATGACCTGATGACCTGTTTGTTGTATTGGGTATTACAATGAGATTACAAAGTGCTCCACTCATCAGATCAGATCAGTTACCTTGCTGGGCTAGCAGTAGCTTGCGGTTGCGTTCGATTTCCTTAATGCTGTCAAAGATTTTCGTGCTGGCCCCTTGGCTGGTCGAGATGGGGGCATCGTTGGCCACCTTACAACTGCGATCGATGTCATCCTGCGAGGGCACACGCCGCTCCAGCGGATTCACCTCGAATCTATCGCTGCGCAGCGATAAATTGAAGCTAATCTGCTCACAGCTGCCGGCATCGTACAATTGCAACGGTGCACGCTTTGGCGTACTTGTCTGTCCCTGTGCCCCATGTGGCAGCAGCTCGATTTTATTGTTGTTGTAGAACATGTTCTCGTTAACGCTCTTGGACATCAGATCATCCTGATTGCGTCGCTTCGGGCAGAGCAGCTCAGCGGAGCCGAACAGCGATTGCGACATGACGCCATTGATCAGATTACTGCTGGTGCTGGTGCTGGTGATTGGTGTGCTGCGTCCACTGATGGTTGGCGATGTTGCCGGCTCCTCGGCCGGTTCATCGGGTCCCAGCTGGATGCGCAGCGATGCCAGCTCTGATTCGAGCAGTAAACGTTGCTCCTGTCGCTTGAGCTCCTCGTGGCAGGCATGATGCTCGGACTCCTCCTCAAAATACTGAAACTCCAGATCCTCAAACGTTTTGCGATCGCTGTCCAGCGATTCACAGACATGCTCCAGCTCCTCCTTGAGGCAGGCATTATTCGGCTTCTGCTTCAACATGGCGCGCAGTCTGCGGAATGAAATTCGTTAATACTCTTTGAATGTGTCACTGCCAACTAAATACCAATTCACAAGCAGCACTTGAAAAGTGCAAATCCAATGATGAGCATGATTCGAGAAATCTTTACTTGAATTACTGCAATACTCGGACGTTTTAATTTTAATTTAGACACAGCTATAATCTAAATATACATATCTATATCTGTCAATCTGCATCATATATATATATACATATATATAACTTTAACTATCGATGTGTGCTACATTTAACTCATTTTATGTTAGCTATCGCCCTCTCGGCTATAGTCCTACAATTAATGAATCTATTCCAGAAAACTATGCATTTAAATCAACTTGTTGTTGCCTCTAAATCTATAATTATATCTACTATTATCAATTTGAACTAGTTGAACAGACTATAAATCAATGTAGTATTCAAGTTTAAGCAATTATAATGATTATTATTGAGCAAGCTCTATGCATAATCCATAAATCTTTATCGTACATTTGTTATATGCCTGTAAATTTATATATATTTTATCAATATAACAACCCAAATTATTACTTTTTTTTCGATAACTATAAACTAAATATATCTATATCGTAAATTTGTTATAAGCCTGTTAATATGTATAAATTATCTCTATTAACTAAACAAAACTATATTGTTTATTGCCTGTAAATATATTTGATCTACAGCAACACAAATTGAATTAATATTTAATTTCTCACTCTAAGCTCAGCTCAGACTCAAAATGAATAATAATTTCTTGAAGATTGACAAGTCTGCAAAAATCATTCTTACTTATTGTGCTGATCTTGTTTCATTTCAATGGACTGCTTAAGTTTCGCCTGTTGATTCTCCTCCATGACACGTGTGGCATTGCGTTGCGCCTCCAGGCGATGGATGCGATGCTGCAACGCCTGCAGCTGCTGGCGGGGAGTCGCCATCTTCGTTGTAGTTGCTGTTGTTGCCGTTGTCAATGCAGATTGCTCACTGGGCTTCAGCTGGAAATGGTTAGAGTAGCGTGTTATGAGTGCTGACTTTTTTGGATGTATCAATATTATTACCTGGTGATGATCATCGTTGGCTGGCGGCAGCTGCGCCAGCTCACGCTTAAGCTGTTTACGCCGCTGGAGTAGCTCGCGTCGCTGCCGCTGCTCCACATTGATGATGCTGCGCGGCGCCGGCGCTGGCTTCCGACTGGCCTTGGGCGATTGCTGCTGGGCACTGCTGGCTATCGATTCGTTCAGATTGAGCGTCAGATTGTTAATGTTCTTGTTGGAGCGCTTGGCGGGTGTTTGAATGCGTTGCTGTTGCTGCTGCTGCTGTTGCTGCTGTTGCTGCTGCTGCTGTTGCTGCTGCTGCTGATGGTGTTGATGCTGTTGCTGGTGGTGCTCGATTTGCTGCTTGCGCTCAAAGGACTTGAAGAGCTGATCGTAGTCACGCTGCTGATTTGGCGCTGGCGGTTTGGGCGCCAATGGTGGCTTCTGCTGCTGTTGCATTGCGGACGCTGTTGCAAAGACGCTGCTGAATGTGGCATCCTTTTTGGGTGACATGCAATTGGTGCGTATCTTGGTCCGTGGACTCTGTGGCACATATTTGCCGCCAGTAGGGCCGCACTGACTGCCAACTGTCAACAAATTCTCATGGCTGGCCAACACGGTTGTTGTGGCTGTTCCTGCCGTCGCCGTGGCTGCAACATGCAGCTGACCATTGATCTCAACACGATTGGGTCCCAGCAAACGCACATTCTCATAGCCCGATGTGCTGCTGATGTGTTGCGTTACCAGATTGTTGCTGCTGTTGTTGCTGCTGTTGGTGTTGCTGCTATTGTTGCTGCTGCTGCTGCTGGTTGCATGCTGTTGGAATGGTGACTTCTTGTCGCGTGGCAACGAACCATTCGTCTTAATCCGATTCTGGACAATGGGCGATGAGGTGATGCTGCCAGCACTGGCATTATGCACGCCATGATTGCTGTTGTTGGTGCTGTGCTGCTGCTGTTGCTGCTGCTGTCTATCTGCGTATTCTGTACATATTTTGAGCATATCCTCCAGCTCGGCACCGCTGCTGCTATTGAGTTCGGTGTTGATGCCATTCATCGCATAGATTTGTAGACCGCCGGCGGTGTAGGTGCCCGGCTTGGGGTAACGATCATAACGATCATTGTTCACCTTACCCAACAACAGCTCTGGTTGCCCCAGCAACTGTAGCTGCTGCTGCTGCTGCTGCTGCTGTTGATGTTGCTGCTTGAAGACAGCCGCATTGCTGGGTATGTTGCAGTAGCCGGCATTGTGCCCAATGCCATTGGTGGCGCCACTGCTGCCGCCTGGCAATGTTTTGGCATATTGATTGTTTAGCTGTTTCTCGCCGCGATGATTCTCGGCCAGATTGCGCGCGAAACTAGCATATTTCTGACCAAGCACATCGCGTGCGGGCATATTGACGGTGACCAGATCCGAGCTAAACACCTTGGGGCACTGACTGGCACTGGTACTGGAATTGTTGCTGTTGCCCTGATGCTTGAGGGGATTAATGATCGTCTCGTAGAAGGAATCCAGTGTGTCAACTGTGGCAGTGGCAGCAAAGTCAATGTGTGGCATGGAGATGCGCTCGTTGGAGCCCATAGCTGAGCGCATCATTTGCGCCTCGTCCGGATTGTTGAAACGCAAATAATTCGAATTGCCAATGGTGATCATTGCACCCTGTGTCAATTTTACTTCATCCCCCACAATTGCAGCGCCGTCGATGAGCAACCGCGACTCGGGCTCGGCCACCAGTGTCACCTCGTTGCCCTCGCTCCGATAAATGGTGCAGTGCAGCGCACGGACTCCACTGCCGTTTAACGAAATGCTGCAATTCGGTGCCGAACCAATTGTTGTGTCTCCTGCATGAAATCAAATTACTTTTCATTATTAATCACAATTCCATAACTAACTGTAATCGTTGTAGTTTTATTTGTCACTCTTGTCCGTATATGCATAAGTAACTAACTGTAAATGTTGCTGTCACTGTCACCGTTACTCTAACTCTAACTGTAATTGCCGTTGTCAGCGTCGTCACCACCCTATTGGTTTTTGCTCTCGCTTACACACACGATCGAGCGAGCGAGACAGAGCTGAGAGCGAGCGAACGATTTGAGCTAAAATGAGTTGAGTTTATCCACCATGGAACGGTGAATGATATCATCATTACCGAATGCATTCTATATACATACAAATGTAATTGATTACATAGTAATCCACTCTTGCATACAGACTTGTATGCTCCAGCTTCTAAGTCAAGCACAAACTTGTCTTCGCGACATATTTCTAATATGTATTGGTTTCTTAAATATCTTATCTACCTTTTTTAATTATTGCGCTTGCGCAGCTTTGCCTATTCTAGTTTGGTTTTGTTTTTCTTTATCGGCTATGCAGCTGGGTATTTGAGTTGAGTTGAGTTTGAGTTGACGTTTGAGATGAGTTGAGTTTGAGTTGAGGTTGAGTTGACGTTCTTATCTCACCTCGCGTGGAGTAACAAGCACATGGCGTCCTCGTCCAGGCATATTACCGTAATTCAGGCCAAAAAGATTATGCACACTGGTCTGCTATCAATTTGTTTGGCGCCAAATTAAAACACAAGTAACATTGATTTAGCATTTATATACGCTCAGTTCGTTTACCCAAATTATTATCTATTTGCTCATCGAAATATTTTAAGTACCTCATTTTAATGCTCTTTTTCATTAAAAAAAAAAAGTAATTACGGCCACTGATTTTAAAGTTGTTATTTATTATAATTAGCATTGTGTGTGGTTATCAGTCGGAACCATTAACAATCACTATTTGCTATGGCTTTTTGGCTAAGACCATAAGAGTTTAACAACTGGCACTCCCTCTCATAGCCTGGTATTATATTTGAACCCGGAAACTTGTTATTCGACTGCCTTAATGATGCCGTCACTTAGACAAATCATTTACCAAGGTCGACTCAGTTTATGTTTATTTTGATTTTGATTTTAGGCGTGAAACTAACATTAAAACTTTTGCCCGCCAAACTGTTTAGCCAGACTCCGTTTAGACTTCGTATAAAATTTTTTTGTTGACATTTTGTTGAACTAAATTCCATAAATGATAAGAAACAAATCATTGACAGATGTGAAATTTTCAAGTGGAAGAACTTGTTTAAGCTGTGTATTTATGTATAAACAAATATATATATGATATCATGCTTACACGCATATCTTACTATCTTTATGGTTGTAAGATCCTAAAAGCTACCGGAGTATTTTCGAGTCACACTGTGCGAGAATCTTATCGCCTAACGAGAACTTGTTGTGTGTTTGTGTGTTGTGTTTTTCGTTTTTAATTCGTGCGTTGCTTTCGCGCCATTTATTAAGAATTGTTTTTCAGATTTTTGGAATTGTTTTTCTTTTTTTTTTTTTTTGGGTAATTATTTCATTTTAATTTTGCCTTATCAGCGTAAAAGTGATCTTGATGGTGATGGTGGTTGTGGGGGTTAAATATATACAGTTGCGGCCAAAATAAAAGTAATGCACACATATGTTTTGAAAAATGTTGAAAAATACTTTAAATATAGTTAAAATTAATGATAAAAATTTGATTTAAATAATAACAATCAATATTGAAGATAAATAAACATTAAAAGTTGGCATAGCTATAAAAATGTATTAGCAAAAAAAATTATTTCCTTGAATTGATTTTTTTTATATTTATTCGTATTGGATTGTTATTTAAATTTATCATTTTAATTGTAGTGGAATAATTTGGAAGTTTTCTCAGCTGTGTGTGTGTATGTATATGTGTATGCGTATGTGTGTGTATGTGCATGTGTGTACTCACCTATATGTATGTAATGAATGGTGACAGCGGTGCTCAGCCGACCGCCGCCAAGGCTAACCAAATGCGGATCAGAGGCAGCAACACGCAACGACGGATCCTTCTTCGTCAATGACATCTGCAAGCGAAATTAAAGAGAAGGACGAGAAGAGCGGATTTAGAAGATTTACAAAAGAAAATACACAGAGAGAGAGAGAGACGCACGCACAATAAGATGACGCAGCGCGTCCATTTGGCAAGGCGTGAAATCGTCAACTGAGAAACACTCACGCAAAACACAAATAAAACACAAATGATGCACAAGCACACGCAAACACACACACTCGCACACAAATACATGCACAATGCACAGTGAGCGCAGCTGCTTTAATTTGCTTTTGTTTCCTTTTCTAATGAGCAGGATTCACTGTTTTTGTGTGTATGTGTGCACACACACACCCACAAAAACTCAAATACACGCTCGAATTTTTGTCTGTGGGGGAGGGGAGCGCGTGGAGCGCATCTGCAAAGCGGCGCGCGCGCGCACACACGTGCATGCGTCATGCGTGAACAGCTGTGCCAGCAGCGAACTAGTGAACGACCTACTCATTACCGAGTGCATTCTGCAAATTCTATTATTTATTTCTTATAGATTTTGGCTTCCAGATGTTCTAATATTATTTTAATTATAGCGCTGGCGCAGCTTGGTTTATTCTATTCTTGATTTAACAGATACGTCGTAAAGTACTGTTTTGTATCAATTATGCAATTTGTGTAGTGAAAAATTAAATATATATATGTTTTTTATATTTAAAATTGTCAATGTGTATAGTGCACAATTAATATAATATGTACATATGTATATCCAAGGATAATCAAATTCTATATATAGTAAACTTTTATGTATATATACATATATATGTAACTACATTGTAAATGTATCTACTACACATTATTCCGTGTATCTTGGCATATGGTATATGGGAAAAGTATAGATTACGAGTTGAATTCGTAATAGCATTTTTCGGTGCTGGGTAGATGCTGTTGCCCAGTTGTCCAGTGTTGCCAGATCACAGCTTGATGGCGACAGTCGAGTCAAAATCAATTGGAAAGCTAATCAATCAACGGCATTGGGCAAATAAATGAAGAATGCGGCATTTGATAACACACACACACACACACATGTGTATGTGCGTCTGTGTATGTTGTGGAGGCATGGAAAGCAACGAAGCGAGCGACACACAAAAAGTTTTCACTTTTTTATTTTTGGGCGCGGAAATGACTGCGGTGGGCCATTTACGAAACGTTCCAAGACCCAAATTGGGTCATAAACACCAAAAGTGGCCGACAGCAAATAGGAAGAAGCGAAGCCAACAACAACAGGAAAAGCAAAAGCAAAAGCAATGCGATTAAGCTACATCATCGTCAACCTCAACAATGTGTATTATGTGTGCGTGTCTGCGTCCGTGTCTGTGTGTGTCTGTAGTATGTGGGCCAACTGTATGGATAACCAGCTGAAATGAGAGCATACTGCGAGCCTCTTTTTAAATGCTGATAAAGTTCTCATTGGACACGCATCATTTTCATTTCTATATAAACGCAGAAGAAAAATCGACCTAAAATATTAATTTAAAAAAAAAAAATGCAGAAACAAGAAATAAAGTTTACTGGCTCAGCTTTTACATTAGAGTTTAATTATCGGGAACCATGAAATCTTAAGTTTTTTCAAATTACATAATAAAGTACAAAAGTTTTTGTAATAATATAAGTAATAAAAAAGCTAATATAAGAATTTATCAATCAATCAAATTATACATATTTTTTCTACATTTAGATAAACTCACACCGAAATTTGCCAATGCAAACTCTGGTTTTTAAGAAAGCCACAACCATAAGTTTTATAAATTTAGTTGTTGAATAATAATTGTGACTAACAATTGGTGCGAAAAGTACGTTATACTTTACTAAAATGTATGGTAACTTTTTTATGAGTGTATTGTACATATTTTATATGCCACAATGTGTTGTCACTGTTGTTGTTGCTGTTTTTGTCACTGATTTCGCTTCGCCTGACTTCTCTGAACATTATCATTATCAGCAGCAGGCAGCAGGCTGTGCTCTGTTGCTGTTACTGTTGCTGTTAATATTTTTGTTGCGTGTGTCACAATTACAATTACAAGTGCCGTGTCTATGTGTAAGTGTGCGTGTTGGTGTGTAAACGAATCACCGTTGCGGGATCGGTCAGTCTACATTTGCACACAGACACACATATGTATATGTATGTAGGTGTGTGCTTAAGCTCTGAGCTACGTGATTGAGTAATATTGCTTGTGGAACGTATTGTGCGTGGATGCGGACTGTTTATTATTGTGATGAACGCATGTGGATTGCATTTTACAAAAGAAACGATCCACATATGATTTGTGATTGCTTGATAGTTATGTGCGCTTTGAAACGGTTTGCTTGTGGATTGCATTTATGACACACAATCCATTCTCTTAGTGGCTTGTGCATATGTGTGTAAACATGTATGTATGTAAACTGTGCAGATCTTGTTATTGCTCATTCCTCGCTCACTGCTTTCGCAAATAGCTAGCGTGATTGTGCTTTCTTCTCTTTCACACTTTCCATGCTTGTCTAGACTGCATTGACAATTGGCTGCTGCTGCATCGTTTCCATTTCCATTCCATATATCCACTCCACATTATAATTAACATTACGAAATGCATTTTAATTCTCTGCCTTGCAGTTGCGTTCGTCTTTGCTTTGTCGTTTTGTTTTTTTTTGTCTCTTTTATTAACGTCATTTTCGGCGTCTTCGTCGTGCGTTTTTTGTTTCGTCATCGTCATCGTCATCATCATCAAAAGCACCCAGATGTGTAATAAATAAAATCAAAGAAATCAACAGCAAAACAACACAGCAGACTAACAATGAGAAGCCAAATGAGTCAGAGAATAACAGCAACAACAACACACGTTCCACAACTAAGAACAGCAATTGCGTTCTTTTGTTTTTTATGCCCACTATACCATTATACCATATAAATGTATCTAACAGGCAAAAAAAAAGCATCTCCGCACCCTTTAAAGTATATATTCTTGATCAGGATTAACAGCCAGGATCATCTCTGAGACTATAAGAGCTAGATACTTCAAATTTGTAGTAGACGTACTAGAATATCTGGCGCAGATTGCTTCATTTTATCAGCAATTGCATCCGTTTGGCAAATATCGATACATTTCTATTTCTAATAGCAATAAAAGCCATAATATTAAAGGCAGAGGCTTGTAATTGATATATAATAATCTTTTCTTTATTATTTAGTATCTGTACCTGGCATAAGAATGCAAGCAATAAAACTCAAATACATTTAATAGCTTTAGGGTATAGGATATATCGTAGTCGAGCTCACTCACTCGACTACAGCATTCTTAGTTGTTTTGTTTTTTTTTGGAATGAGGCATGGAAATCTCGATTAATTGAGATAAGATAAGAACAATGTTATGTTAATTGTGTTGAGTATGGTAAAAGTGCCATTCTTTAATTACTTTTGCGGTCTGGAAGACATTTAATAAAATGTATATTTTTCGATGCTAAAACTGACGCTGATTCAAGGCAAGTTGGAAAATTCCTTATCCAAATGCAATTGAAATCTGTGAAAAATAAATTCTTTGTTTAGCTGCCAATTTGTCATAAACTCAAATCTCGCAATTTGCTTTATTTATTTTTATTATACGTAAGTCACAAAAACCACATTCATTAAAGTGTCAAAAGTCAGTAAAAAGAGCGAGACAAACAGTCAACGTCAACACAATTACCGTTTAATATTCGCCAAAGCCCGAACAGCTGAATGCCAACAACAAACAAAGAACAGCCAACTTCAACCCAATCCATTCCTACATTGCTCCTTTTCTCCTTACCTTCATTCATGCATGCATTTTTCATGCATCCAACAGCATCCCGCAGAGTCGATAAATTGTTTTTGCTTTCGCTGCAGCCGCTCACTCTCTCTCTTTCTCTCTCACTCTCTAGCATTTACTCACTCACTCACTCTTTCTGTCTTACAGGAAAATTAATACCAATACATTGCCATTTTTAGTTGGTTGTCTTTATTTATAGAGCACAAACACAAACACAGCTGTGTATCCCAACTTGAAAGCAAAAACACCGTTTCAATAATACGATAGTGCGGGCGACAAACAGCCACACACAGCGAGAGAGAGATGGAGTGAGGGGGATACGTATACATACATATGCACACACACATACATAGAGACTATGCATTAGCGCAGCAACTGTCAATACTCGACTCGTGTCTTCAATTGGCAAGCGCTTTTTTTGGCTGTCATATCATTCAGCTTTTGTTTTTGTTTTGTTGTACCTTTTTGTTGTTGTTGTCGTTTCATAGCACAAAACTTGGGAATCTGCGTTCGCTAATTGAATTTGCCTGTTGAACAACTAAAAATATTTGCCTTGACTTAAGCCAACAATGTGGGCAGGAAGCTATGTGGACCGTAATGCCTTCAGTTGCCAAAAGAAGCGGTTTCTATTTTTTTACGAATGGGTTGCAAAAAGTATGTCAAACATTTGGAGTGGATCGAGATAGCGTGGGTTTTTTTTCTTTGAGAGTTTCCAATACACGATTTATCCCCATGTTCGTTGAACTACCCACAAGAAGAAACGTTCGCACTGCAAGTGGATCGCATTCAAAGTGAGAGCTTGGGGGGCTTGGTCAAATTATGGATTCCATTGTGGATAGTAGGCTAGACATGCAAACTAGTTTTTATAGTGTGGACACAAATAAAAAGTGACACATGCTTGGCAGACATAATTACGAACAATGTTTGTGCAACTGTGTTCAGTGTATCTTAATAAAAATAAACATTTGCCGACACACAAAATGCGCAATTTGAATTAAAAGCATGCAAAGCGTAGCCAAAAAAGCAAAAAAAAAAAAAAAAAACCAAAACAATATACAAATTAAATATATTTTTAAAATGTTTTTTTTTTTTTATTTTGTAAGGCGTTTTCTTTGCTTTTTATTAATATATGTGAGGCCTCTGGGGTCGACGACAAATCTAAATAAAAACGCGCGCGATTTTAAACGCTTACGTTTTTTGTTGCTTTTTTTTGGGTGTG